TTGAGCTGGGCTCTAGACCGATGTAGATGACGGTGATTATTGAGCTGGGCTCTAGACCGTAGTAGGTAACGGTGATTATTGAGCTGGGCTCTAGACCGTGGTAAGTAATGATAAATTTACACTAAACGAATAAAGTTAACCATGATACAATAACACCCTAGATTGAGGGTCTTGGAAATTGAAACTTTGATTATACTTAGTATAGTTGTCATTGTACTTGTCAAATGCTTCCAAGTACTGACCTCCCCTTCACGGGGGAGGCCACCTCACAGTTTCAGGTAGAACTTGAAGGTTGCTGCCATTGCCCGCTTGTTTCGGGAAGATCAAGGAGAGAAGACGTGGTTCGTGCTTCCTCCGTTCCTGTTTTAAAAACAATTAAATTGATGCTCATGGATATTATATTTTTTTTTTTTGAATAATTATTTGGGGGCTTGTATGCCCATGTTTGCCAAGCGTGGCATGAATACTTGTATCAAATGTTTCCGCTGCTTGAATGAATGTTTTACATTATGTTTGTTTATGGATGTACTATGTGTGAATGATATCCCAGACGCCTTGTATAGTATGGATGTGTTGGACTGTGGTTGACTATTCGTACTGTACGGCGGATTGTTGACGTGTCCGGATAGGTCCGGGGCGTGACATTATCACTTCAAAAAATTCATAAAATTATTTATATCAATTTATTTTTTTTGTGATTATGTTGTTTCAAATTACATAGAGTTAATTAATTACCTATGAATCGCTTGAGGTGTCACCCATGGTTTAAAAAGGCGCTTACAGGATGGGTTTTGAGGCACGCCTCAAGTTGAGGCGTATAGAGAAGGTATCGGGGTTTAGGTTTTTTTCGCATGTCAAGAGGCTTATGCCTCAAAAGTTGAGGCGTACGCCTTGAGGCATTTTTTGAGGCGTGGGTTACTAAGTTTTTATATTTTTAATAAGCTGTGACTTAAGAAATCCTTGGATTAATTTAATAGTAATTAATAAAAGGCCCATACATGAAACATGTACCCATGGTCCAAACTAATACCCCTAGCAAGTCTTTTTTCATTTAAATTATTCAATAATTGCTAAAATGATTGGATATTTCTTCACACAGAAGTTTTCACACTCCTTCACGAAATAGTAGACAACTCACAAATAGTGCACTCTTCTACCCCTCCTCTTCTTCTACATCTCTTCTCTTTCTTCATCTCCTCTACTTCTTTTATTATTCTCTTTCTCTCCTCTTTCTTCTTGTACTAAGCTGTTGGTCATCTTTTCCTAAAACTAGTTTTCTGATAATTCAGCACATCCAGTCACTCTAGCCAGCAGTACATAAATTTCGGTAGATTCAATGTAATCACTCCACTTCAATGTTACCAAATTGGTCCTAAATGTATTTAAAATTAATGTCCTAAAATGTATCTTCAAATTAGAGTCATATTAGACTGAAATTTTCAATCAAGGACTTAATGTTTTTTTTTGTTGAAATAAAATTTTTATTCAAGAAGAAGAAAAGAAAATTACATGGAAGGAAAGTCAAAAGAAAAGAACACAAAAGGAGAAAAAGGCAGAAAAAAGGCCCAACCCAAGGTACATAAAAAAGCCCAACCCAAGAATACCCTAAGAATTAGATGCAAGGTCAGTATTCCATCCATGTTTGAGATCTGGTTCTCATATGATGAGACCGTTGATACTTTTTCCTGTACATCTTAATTTGAGTGTTCAAATTCTCTGTGGGTAGACAATTTTCTATTGTGACCAACTGAGCTTTGTTGCAAATATCATCATTTGTATCGGAGTCCCAAAGGTTGTCAATCGATGAAATAGGAGCTCTCTTCTCACTCTCTGATGCATGGCCTAAAAAATCATCCCCCGAGTGTGTATAGAACTGTTCGTTAAAGACCCCTTCACTCACAAAATCTGCAGATAAATGGATACATGTGAAAACATCTCTTGAAGTGTTGGCATATGGATTTGCACATATAGTAGTATTCCCTTCTTCACAAACCTTTTTCTGGTTTTCTAAAGAGTCGGTAAGGATTTTTTTTTGAATTCTTTGAGCAGAAAGTGTGACAAAGAATCCACCCCGTTAGTCATAGCAGTCTGAAAAAAATTATTAATAATTTCTAATGAAGGGTCTAGCTCAGAAATGAGCTCAGATTTACTAGCGTCCTCAATAGAAATGAACTCCAAAGAGTTAAATGAAGTTGAAAGAATATCAACTTGTAGTAAAGCTTCCGAAATCGAAGAATCAATCTTACAATGATGTATATCCCTATCGAGTCGTTGCAAAAGGGGATCCTCACATAAGTTGCCTGACAAACTCTCACATGTAACTTGTGTCATTGTTATCATTGGCTCTTGAGGTGCGATCGATTTCATCAAAGTAATTGCCTTTGAAATCCCTGACAAGAAAAGATTTATTCCCAATTCATTTCGCCCTTCAGGAATAATATAGAGAGTTTCTTCCATTTTCAATTATTCGGAGAAAGCCTCCAAATATATTTGCATCAGGGAGTTAATGTATCAATGATATTAATCGTCTAACTGTACTAAGGATGTTTGTACTTGAACTGTAATTTGCTGGATTGGTCTGGTCTAATCTGTTCTGGTCTGGAACAAATTATAGTCTAAGTAAAAACATCCTAAGCGTGTTTTTTTAAAATAAAATACTAAGGAGGTGTTTACTTCGCTGCTAAAGTCACAGTTAGGTTAGTAAGACAGGTGAAGTAAACACGCACACTGCTTAAAAAGCCGCTTACTAACCGAAAGAAGTGCTTAAAGTGTCGCTTACTAAGCATACCAACCCCTATTGTTACCCCTAATTAAGCGGCACTTTAAGCTTTTTCAGTTTCCGAAATTACCCATTGCCCTTACCCTATTGTTACCCCTCTACCCGCTACCCCACCCCGCCCAAACTACTACCCCACCCCACCCACTACCACCATCCTCGTACTTTACCCCTTACCCCCTACCCTACCCCTACCCGACCCACCCTACCTACCCTACCCCTTACCTCGGTCCCACCCTATCGCCATCTACCCCTACCCTACCTTACCCCGATCTCGGCCCCACCCCACCCTACCCCAACCCCAGTACCCTCTACCCTACCCCCTACCTCGGCCCCACCCTGATCCCGACGCCACTCTATCACCATCTACCCCTACCCTACCTTACCCCTACCTCACCGACCCATCCCCTACCTCGGCCCCACCCTGATCTCGTCCATCTACCCCTCTACCTTACACTACCTTACCACGACCCCACCGTACCCACTCCTCCCTACCCCCTACCACATGGTCCTACCTCGGCCCCACCCCGATCCCGACCCCACCCTACCGCCATCACATACCCCGACCCCACCCTACCCACCATCCCCAGCCTTACCCCTAACCACGACCCTACCCCACCCCCTACTTGCCCCTACCTTGGCCCCACCCCGATTCCCCACCCACGCCCACCCCTAGAACTTACCACCCTACCCCCACCCCCTACCAAATACCCCCCACCACATGCCCCTCACCCCAATCCCGACCCCACCCTACCGCCATCCTACCCCCACCACCCCCTATCGTGGTAAGGGTAGGGTAGGGGTCAAGGGTGTGGAATTGGGCGTAGGGTGTAGGGAAGGGGTGGGGGTGGGGGTACATGGGGGTATAGGGCGGGGTAAGGGGTATGGATACACGTACGAGGTGACCCCACATATTATATTACGGAGTATATACTTGTGTTCATGAATGTTTGTGCTTCTATATATGTATAGGGTTATTTTGGACATTTAAATGTTAAACGGTGTTTTAAATCCTTTGAAGTAAACGCGATCTTACAACATTGCTTATTTTATACGCCGCTTATTAACGTGGGTCTTAATAAGCACTGTTTAGTAACCTGTGAAGTAAACGTGTCCTAAGTGTATTATTTGTACGCTGTGTATATATCCTTAATACCAAAAAAGTGTATATATCCAAATAAGAGTTCTATTTGTACGTGTCTCTAGAATCAAGGATAAGATCCGAAGCCGATTTAAAAGCCTATTTTTTTGCACAAGAAAGCTTTATTGATAAAAGAAGCAAAGTACAAGCGCTAATGAAGGGAGAAAGTAAATGGAAAAAAGCGAATGAGGAAAACAGGAATGAAAATGATTAGTAAGGTGTATTGGAGTAGTTGAGCCGGCTACGCTGTTGGGTATGTTGTCTGGTGTTAAAAGCCTAAATATTTTTTAATACTCCTTCCGTCCCCCTTATATTGTCCTATTTTACATTTTTGGGAAATCCCACTAATATTGTCTCATACCATATTTGGTAAAGTTTGTGTGGCTCTAAATCATTCTTACTTTATTCTTACTTTATCAATTAATATAAACAACACAAACCCATTTTTTTTAATAATTGTGACACCCTCTTCCATCCCAATATAGAAGGGACGGAGGTAGTATAAGTTAATTAAATGTTTTTCACATAGTAATAATAGATACTTTTTGTTAACCGATAATAGAGTGACACAACTTTTCTTAACTTTGTTTTACGTAGATCACAATTATAAGTACTGTATTATACTGCGTATTTTGTATTTCATATGCGAAGTAGGGAGTATATTTTTTGTATTTCATATACGAAGTATATTTCATTTTTAAACTGTATGAGATTTAACAAACTTATAGAGATGTATCATAGATTTAATTTTTAACAAATATATTTATACATGCAACAAGTTATTATTTATTTAATTTAAAAACATTATTAGGCATCCGAATTACTTTTTCAAGAAAGAATTTTATAACCACAACTTCTTTAATTTTAACAATTTCAGTTTCAGTCCAGCCCATTTGATTTCGATCCGGACATGCTCAGGGTCTACACTTCAAAATTTTGATCAAACTCAGCATCCCCTCCACTTCAAATCATCGAGAAAACTTTAACCCGCGATCAATCGAAGTGGAGACACGCTGCTTCAGTCGATCTATGCACTGCAAGCTGATCAACCGAATAGGTATAAAACTTCACTCCACCATTTGGTATTATATCTCCCTTTTCAAGTATTTATTTTTCCCCTTTCAAGCGCTTCTACCAATAGGAGTGATTAAGATGTTCTTGTGCACGGGTAAAATTGTATACATTTATACGTTGTGCTTCCTTCCTTCTGCTTTCACCAATACTCTTTGGTAATTCATTGATCTCCTTATGTTATGTTTGAGCATCATCTCATTCATTATGTAGTTCATCTATCATTCCTTTACTAATTGATTTCATCTATTTCTCTTAGTAAGGAGCTCCATTGAAGCATTCTCAACTCATATAATCCGGTTGGAACTAACACTGATAGCTTTCTACTCTCTTACATATAAAAAAAAGTTCTCTTTATAAATTTCTTGTGAAGTTCTTTTTTGTAATTTTCAGCTTGCACTTTCATACCTAAGGATTCTGAGCGGGAACACTATTCCTAACACTTTTTGCTTTTATATAATGATGATGATAGACTTGGTGCGGTTTAGCCGGAAAGAGTCGGTAGATCAGAGAGAGAAAGAGAATGGGGGTGAACCAGCAGAGATGTGGACAGAGGGTGGTGAAGGCGGTGCTTTTGGTTATGGGAGTGTGCTTGGTGGGATATATTCTTGGTCCGCCATTGTATTGGCACCTCAAGGAAGGCTTAGCAGCAGTCAGCCGTTCTTCTTCTTCCTACTACTCATGTCCTCCTTGTACCTGTGACTGCAATTCTTTACCCCTTCTCTCCATCCCTCAAGGTAAATCCCCTTCTTTTGGATGGATCTGCTTAGATCCTTCTATTTCATCTGTCTTAAGCTATCTGGGTATGAATGCTTTTGTGTATACAGTACAAATCTTTCATTATCTGGTAAATTTTAGTTCATCTGTTGAGTAAAAGAGCAATCTTTCTCCTTTTTCACGAATTTTTCCAGCCTACCCTTTTAGTAATTTTTCGCCCCCCCATACGAAATCACTAGTGGGTTTTCGGGTCACTTTTCCTTTAATGCTGAAGTATTGAATAGATAGTGTTTAAACGGTTGTTAATTGAGCTCATAGAACTGTAGAAGTTCAAATTAATGTCGTAAGCACTTTGCTTAGCGAGATGACACATACACTCTTTTAAGTTTTAACAGCTCCTAAAAGTTTGGGTTTTGCATATATTACCATTCAGATGCCATAATGCCAGGTACAGTGATTGTGAGTTTCTATTATAATAGTACTACATAGTAATTAATATAATAATAATACACAGCCTTGCCCTTATTTGAGAAGATAATCTTTGAAACTACCAAAAGGGAAATTTCAAGGTTGTAGGTATTTACTGTCAAGTAAAAATATATAATAGATACTTAGACAATAGTTGAGATAAAATAGATGCTTAGCCAAAATTGGAAGTGTAAGAACTTCCTTTTCAAACTAATAAATCACACAATGTCATTCTTTTGTTAACTTCCTTTCTTATTATAATGGTTGTTTCCTTAGAAAAGAGTCTCAACTCTCAATTGTCTTTTCACTTTAAAAGAGTGTCATGTTACGAGCATGACTGGGAAATGAAATGAAAAAGAACTTAAATCAGTAAAGGTCTTCGTGCAACTACATATAGTACTGCTGTTAGAAATACCAACTCAAACAAAATACCTATACTAATATAAATGTACTACTACTACCAATAATAAATTCATAATCGTAAACTAATACTAATAATGGGTAATAATAATAATAATAATAGGAAGCCTTTTTTTGCTATACTTCTCCAAAATCTTTTCGGGTGGCTCTATGAGATTTGCCTTTACATTTAGTGAACCACATGCAGGCCTTATGCTGGAAATGGATTTTGCCCTCTGGGTAATCTTTGAATCTATACTAGGTTGTAAGGAGCTTGTTTGGTTAAAACATTTCAGAGGGGGTAATAATTTGTATTCTATTAATATATCTGTATTTATTAGTTTTAGACTAAAAGTAATGTATTTCGATATAGTTTATTGTCTTCATCTTATTTATCGATCGTCTTAATTTAGAAAGATTTTAAAAGTTAATTTCAATCCTCCACTTTGGCGCGTGTAACTTCAAACGTACCCCTTCCCTTGTTTTTGGTTTAACTCAATACCATTAGCTTGAAATGATGTGTGACTATACCTAACATGTCCTCATCAGTCATCACTCCCCCACCAGTTAAGAATAAAATAAAGAATTTAACAAAGAAAAAAACCAAAGATATCATGAACCATCGAGTTTGGGCTGATTGCCAATTGTCTACTGCATAAGCTATATGTGATCAGGTTCAAAGCCTGGATGCATTTCTTTTTGTGGTAGATGCCAAGAGGCTCATCATCATCATCATCATCATCATTATCCGTATCTTAGTCCCAACCAGTGGGGACGGTGAACTTGAATTTATAATGCTAATTTGTCGTATGATGCTCATATTCCTCAACACTATATTCTTGAAAAAAAGAAGGAAAATGAAACTTAATCCCAATGCTTTGCACCAGATTCCCTTCCTGTCGCAGGCTTCTTAAGAAGGAATAATGATATCAAACTCTAAAACGTTCACTGTTATAGATTATTTCATATGCATGAAAGTATTATAAGACTGTGATGACATCAGATTTGCTATTGACATCAGATTTATGTGACTGGTATTGCAAAACCAACATGAAAACCATAGAACATTGGTCGTTGAACCTCTTATTGATGTCATTTTATTTTTTAATTTTAAATGTTTTCGCCTTTTAGCTAAAAAACCTGACGTTAAGTTTGTTCTCTTTATTGCAGGATTAAGTAATGCTTCCTTTTCAGGTTAGTGACACAAACACAATATTTCCTCATTATTTTACTCGAGTCAGAAGAACTGTGCTGGTGTTTGTGTTAAGCGTCTTATGTGAAACCTGAAAATTTTATGTTATTTCAACAATCGGTTTAATATAATCGATCATGATCATATTCAACTATGATCACTATCTTCAATTGGTTATACAACGTATAACTTATATCAGCTTTTGTTTAGGTAATATTTTCTAAAAAGTGGTTTTAAATTAAATAAATGGGGCAATTTGACTTTGCACCCCACTTTTTGGGAGATATTGGACTTTGCACCCCATTTTGAAAAAACTTTGATTTTGCACCCCATAACTTAACATTTTGTAAAGGAAAATTTGTGAATGAGTGCAAAGCGCCAAAGCCAAAGGATTTTAAAGTAGAATGGGGTGCAAAGTAAAAGTTTTTTTAAAATGGAGTGCAAAGCCAAATATCACTCAAAAAGTGGGGTGCAAAGTCAAATTCCCCCTAAATAAATTCGTATTAGTGCAACAAAACATTATGTGTTACTATAGGTAAAATAGGTGTGAATACAAACAGCTGAATGAAAATTTAAATCATAATAAACTTGTTAGGAACCTGGAAATAATCCTAGCAAAAGTAGTAACAAGCAACACAGATCTGGATAAACAGGGGAAGAAAAGGATGTTTATTGATAATAAGGTAATCCGTAGGCAACCAGGTCGGGACTCTTAGGCAACAAGGCAACTCTCAAATCAAAATAACAGTATACCTATTATTAGCTACCCAACTTACTATTTATAGTAGTAGGTCCACGCAGGGACTAACATAGATAAACAGACTCATTAAATGACCCCAGCCCACTTAGTTGACCTCAGCCCATTTTATTTCTTCTTTCAAATACCCTATTAAAATACTCAATAAGCAGATTCCTAACATTACTCCCCCCCTAATTAACCACCTTGCCCTCAAGGTGGGTAATAAGACACAGCCTTGATCTTGAACTTCCTCTTCATCCTGGAACCTCTTCCTTCCCAGTACCTCCTTGGTTTCTGATCTAGGAGCTTCATTTCTTTTACTTTCATCATCTCTTCCTCTTTCATATGGATTAGTTGCTGATGAACTAGCAGTGCAGCTTGGATCAGGTCAAGTGGTGTTGGTGGCAGGTGTCTGCAGGTTGGAACATCACTTTGGAGTATTATTCCTTTATGCTGCTCAAAAAATTCGAGAGCTTCCATGCTTCCAAAGGGATCTGCCCCGAAAGTAGCCTGTGGTATCTCAAAAACCCTATGCATAGTGTGGTTGATGAGTGACAAAATTAAGTCCTTGATATGTGGCCAGTTGACCCCAGAGTTTGTATCAGTTAAGAACTGTGAAAGTGCTTGACACACATTTGCCATCACAGGAGGGGGCACATCCATGCTGATTACCTTAACTGATGCATACACAAACTGCTTATCAACCCTTGTGGCAATGTCTTCTACACAAATTTTCTCCCAAATATGTCCTACAGTAGCCCCAAAAATTTTGCTAAAGCCATCTATACACACAGTCCCTGTAGAGCTTTCTAAAGTATTTGGACCAACAAGTTTATGAATGGCAGATTCATATTCCATAGCAATTGAGGAGTGAGTTACCACAGAAACTTTCTCTTCTTCATCAGTGTGCAATTCCAATCGAGGCATACTGGCAGTCAAGTCCTTAGAACTTTCACCATTAGGAACTCCAAGAACAACTTGCCCTGCTTTCAACAACACAATTTCAGGTGAGAATGCACTGATTCCTGTCCCCACTAGAAAAAGTTGCGACTGATCCATTATGGGATTGAGCCTGGTTGTAGATACAAACACATCAGGCCCATAATTTATCACAGCACCGTCGGATTTCCATTCAAGTGCTCGAATCCTCCTTCCTATTTTATATGTGCTATTTACCTGATCCTCCAGTTGCAATGGCAATTGCTCTTTCACTTTTACCGGACTAGTTCCATTTTTATCCTTCGTAGGCTGTGATAATTTGACAGATATCCTGCAGTTTGAGTCATCATCATCCAGACCTGGTTCCGCTGGCCTCAACTTCATTGTGGGCGATGAAGCTTGAGCAGAGTGAGAAGAGGTGTGCGGTGATACCTGCAAGCACTGGAGATCGGATTGCGACAAAATCTGAGAACTCTGAGAAACAACTTGCGTCAGAGTTTGCGATGCCAAGGAAGGCAAAGGGTGAGAATCGACTGGCAAAGTGGAAGACGATGCTAGCGATTGATATGATATCTGCGAGCGAGTAGAAGGAATGGACGACTGCGGACTGGGAGAAACAGGTGGCGATGATGAAATCGAAGTAGTGGCCCGCGTCGGACTATGCGATGATTGAGAGTGACGATGAAGTTGTGATCGTGATTTCCCCCTGGACGGATTCTGTTCCTTTATCGCTGCTATCGCAGTCGCGATGCTGATATGGATCTGTTCCTTCATCGTTGTCGCGAGGGTGGCCATAGCCGTCTTCATCTCCAGTTTGAGCTTATCAATGCGAGCCTCCATTTCTGGTGTCCAGGCTTCTTCCATAGCTCCAGGGTAGTTGATCGATGATACGTGACACTTCAATCGGATCCCCAGGAGCAGTGATGCTCTGATACCAATGTTAGGAACCTGGAAATAATCCTAGCAAAAGTAGTAACAAGCAACACAGATCTGGATAAACAGGGGAAGAAAAGGATGTTTATTGATAATAAGGTAATCCGTAGGCAACCAGGTCGGGACTCTTAGGCAACAAGGCAACTCTCAAATCAAAATAACAGTCTACCTATTATTAGCTACCCAACTTACTATTTATAGTAGTAGGTCCACGCAGGGACTAACATAGATAAACAGACTCATTAAATGACCCCAGCCCACTTAATTGACCTCAGCCCATTTTATTTCTTCTTTCAAATACCCTATTAAAATACTCAATAAGCAGATTCCTAACAAAACTACAAACTCCCAACGTAAATGAACAGCTTATAATATAAAAAGGCCTCTTATTAATTTAAGATTATAAGTGTCACAAACATGCTCTAAACTGTCAATTGCATTTGAATTTAGTTCTTTCAATGCTTCTGATGATGCAGTTCGATCTCATAGAACAGTATGCTGGTTTTGAGCATTGTTCAACACCTCCTTGGGATTGAAATTTGGAAGTATTGCTCACTGATTATGTCTATGAGATTGTCGTTTTAGAAAACCATAGCCATGAGGACGTATATAGTTGAATTTTTTATTTTATATTAATAAGATTTTCATGTGTTCAAGCCGAAAAACAAAGTGATGGGTGACATTTGATACAATTCCCCTCCATTTTTCCATTTTCCCACATTTCACAGATTGTGGAAAGCATGATCCCGAGGTGGGTGAAGACACAGAGAAGAACTTCGCAGAGCTCTTGTCTGAGGAATTAAAGTCGCGAGAAGCTGAAGCTTCTGAAAACCAGCACAAAGCCGACATTGCACTGTTAGAGGCAAAGAGGATGACATCTCAGTACATGAAAGAAGCAGACAAGTGCAATTCTGGGATGGAGACTTGCGAGGAGGCCAGAAAAAAGGCCGATGTGACCCTACTGTCCCAGAAGAAGGTGACTGCAATGTGGGAGTCGAGGGCACGCCAGATGGGGTGGAAGGACAAGACTGCCAAGTCTCAATGAAGCCCATCATGTACATCTGATTCAAAATGTTTCCCCTACGAGACTCGGCCTCAAGGCTCTCTCATTTCTGAAAGATCATGAAAATTTCTCATAACCCAAAATTTATTTCTTGTTTTGTAATATGATATAGCCATATAGGTAAATAGGAGTATAATATCATTTGCCCGGTGTGTCTACCAAATAGTAGTATAGAAGTTGTTTACTCACTTTTTGCTGAAAAATGTGTCAAAAAATGTTCGGTCTTTTAAATAGGATGAATATTTCTTGAGATATTACCCGAAATAGGACTAAAAAAATTTGAAAATTCCAAAATAGGACTTCCATGTTTTTATTTCCAAAATAGGACTAATTATTGTCATGTTTTGGCAGTACCAGACTTCAAACATGGCAGTATTTTTCAAACTTGGTAGTAATTAGTTCTATTTTGGGAATAAAAACATGACAGTCCTATTTTGGAATTTTCAAACTTTTTTAGTCCTATTTCGGGAACTTTCCCATTTTTCTTTTAAAATGTTTTCGAAAAATAATACGTAGTCCATACTATGCAATGAGAGATTCTGTGTGGGTCCTTCATAGGTAGGGGTGGACCGGCTACGGGCCAATCGCGCCCGGACTGGTACTGTTTGTACTCGGCCCGAGAAACCGGTTCTGGGCCTAGTCCTGGCCCGAGGGGGTAACCGGTTCCGGGTCCTGAAAAAGGCGAACAGGCCCGGCTGGTCTGTTTTTTTTTTTTTTTTTTTTTTTGGTTATTTTGGGGTTTGGGTTAGGTTTAGGTGGGCTGGGAGGGGTGTCCGAGGGGTTGGGGGGGGGGGGGGGGGGGGGTGAAATAATTAACAAAACATACAAAAAAAATTGAACCAGGATTGGCCCGCCCGGAACCAGTAGACTCCCGGGCTGGTTCCGGGCCTTACCCAAAACAATCCAGGCCCGGCCGACCCTAGGCCCGAATCGGACCGGGCCCGGTCCACCCCTATTCATAGGAACACATGTGTGCATATTCTGTTTACGAGATTATCTGAAGTGTAACTAATGTCACCGCCTAAAATACGAAATATAAAACATTTGAAACAGAAATAAAAAACTAAATAGAATCTACTCCAAATAGGAGTAAAATTATGACAAAAATTCAAAATAGGACTTCCTATATTTTTAATTCTAAAATAAGACCATATTACACCTATTGGAAACATACCTATTTTTTCATTCCATTCTTACCTCTCCTTTAAATATGAGTAAAAGATAGTCAAAAGTCATAATTAAGTGTTTAATTCATAATAAATTTGAAAAAAATTTAAAAAATTGTACAAAAATAATAAAAAATTAATAAAATAGTTATAAAAAATAATTAAAAATTAATAAAAAATAGTAAAACTTCATAAAAAATTAAAAACAAATATGAATGCCTTTCCCATCACTTGTGCTGCTTTCCCTGCATCACCACCTCCAGCTAGTGTAAAAAAATGCATTTTTTCTTCTAAAAACTGACATTTTTTCTGAAAATGCCATATATTTGTCCAAGACACATAATTAATCCTATGAAAACATAGTTTATTTTTTGGTCTTATTTATGCAAAGTGGTATTTTGATAATTAATCCAAAACTGAAAAACTGGAAAACCAAAAAGTAGAGAAGATAAGTAAACAAACTTTTTTCTTACTTTCCGACCACAGAGTCTGCATAACTGGTACAACCGTACAAGTAAGAAAGTACTATGTACTCCGTATAACTTACCACAAGAAAGAGTTATAAGTACTATGTACACTTTTAATTCATTTTTACTCTAATGTTTAATACTTGCTCCCTATTTAAAAGATCACTACACTAGGTTTTGGCATAATATTTAAAAGGGGATTATTAGAGGTAATTAATAGTGTAGGAGAAAAGGTGAAAAAGTAGAAAAGAGAAAATAAAAAGTTGAAAAAGTAAAGATAGTTGGATATTTTTAAATAAAAAAACTTACCCAAAATAGAAAGTGTAATAAACTTTACAATACATCCCAAATAGGATTGTGTTGCAAAATTTTAAATGCGGAGGGAGTATAAAATTTAAAAACAACATATCTCCTTATGTAAATTTTAAAAATGATATGAAACAGCCAAATATATTGTGATCTAATGGCATCACTGTTGATATCCCAAAGAGGAGTCGCATGTTGAGTCACATCCCAATCAAAGACGTTGATACTAACAAGAGTAGATACTATAATATGTTTAGAAGAATGTTCCAAAAATAAAAGATATGAAACAAAAAACTATCTTGAAAACATTTATGTAGAGAAAAAGGCGATAATATAAAGAAAACTACCCAAAATAAAATTTCAATCATACTTCCTACTCAAAAAATAACTAGAACATGTCATTTTAAACCACGAGTCAACTAAATAATAGAATTACCACAAGTCCACAACCAACATCTATGCAATTAGACAGCAACTGTATTCGAACAAGTAATGTCAAATGTGTGTAGTTACGGAGTATTGTATTAGTTTTGGTTCATTGCAAATTATATTCAATTTTAAAGAAAAATGATTTAACAATTGAATCATTAAAGCATAACGAGAATTTGATGGCCTGATGCGTTAGACTGCTAGTATCTTACTCCGTATTAAATAACAAATTGTCAAAATCTAAAGACAATTGACATCCAATTGTGAATAAAAACTCACATGACCTGTTCTATCTTATTTACCAAAATTGAAGTGAGAAGAAGAAAACTGTAAAGTTACAATGTACATGTAACACTCTTGACCCCTATAAAGTCCAATGGGGAGGGTAGTCAGGCAATTTGCTTCACACACTGCAAATTATTTTGGCCCACTGACCCAAATAGTAGAATAAATTCATAATTTGGTTCATGTCCGGAGCGTGTATACATCCAACCATCACAAGTAAATAGTGTTCTGAAACAAAAGTATTGTCCACTCCCATTGTAATGCCTAGCACCATGAATCTTGATAGTTTACTCTGAGAATCCAAGGAAGATGAAATTAGTTATAAAAACTGTAAAATACACACATACATTGTTTCCAAAGAAAAAAATTGGGCACCAACAAAATTTTCCATTTCCATTTTATGGAAAGAATTGTGGTGAATATAAACCCTTTTATTTATAAACAAATCTCAACCATGTAACTTAACTTGCCTAAACAGATAGCATAACAACAAATGTGACAAACAAATATGAATGGAGAATAATACTACATATCTATTTAATTATATATTTATTGGGCACACGAGAATTGGCAAACTCCACAATGAGTTACATATGAAAAGCCACCCCACCAGATTGCATATTGATTTGTTAGAGTTTTGGTTCACTTTCAATTAGAATTAAAGATTCAGTTACATTTAGTCTTAGCTTGCTGCTATTTCTAATTAGCTTAGGGACACAAAATAACCTCACCTTACAAAAGCCAAGTCATATATCCATGCTGTATAGCTTTGTGGGTGAAATTTGAGTTGCTTGAGACATATATCCTGTTACAAAACCGCCCAAAAAAACTGTGACGTTGTAAAGCTAATGGAAAATTGAGAGTATATTTAGCCACGTTGAAAGTAACAGTATATACTTCAAAGTCAAAGAAAAATGGGTTTTGACAAAATTTTCTATTGAAAAATTATGCTCTTGTTTGGTGTGACAAAGGGGAGGGGAGGGGGGGCGTGGGGATGTGACTATAATAATTAAGCACACATAGATCGTTTCCGGAAGACCCATGATATTTTATTATTTTAGAATAATATGTGATGAAAATTATTTAATTCGTAGTACGTAGTATTCCCTCCTTCCCATTTTATATGTCTTACTTTCCTTTATGTGATAAAAATTATTTGATCCAAGTGTCACCTTTCCTTTTTTGGAAAGAAATATGTGGTCCACACCATTTCACTTTATTATACTCAAATCTCAACCACAACTTTTAATTTTTCCACCATTTTATTGATAATTGTGTCAAGTCAAAGTATAACACATAAAATGGGACGGAGGTAGTATTATTTTTGTTAGGATTTAAAATATCACTAACATTTTTACAAAAATCACGTAGAACAATGTAAGGAAAAAAAAATTAGAAAAAACTCCTCAAAATGAGGGAGGGGGATATGAGAAGTTTGGAGTCGGGGGCTTTCTGACTCCAACACTACTCAACTTTCCACCACTCTCTTCTAAATTCCATAGATACTGTATAAGTAGTATTTCTGAGAATTATAAACAAGAAATTATTGAAGGGTGTCACCCGAAGCAACCAGAAGGGAAATGAAAATCTGAAATACCTGAGATTATTATGCAGTATTCACCTTATTTGCAAATTACTGAGGAAATCCGAGAGTCTGAATGTAACACGAAGTGCAACATCAAATTAGAAGGTGAGGAAACAGGAAAGAAAATATACGAACACATAAGTTTTGAAAAACTAACTGGGCAAATGAAGAAACCTTATATTTTTCACAATCACTGTAGTTCCATCATCAGCATCAAGATGCCGTAAAGCCACTTCCTCCAAACGACCGTCACGGTATGCATGCTGTAAAAGGAAAGCAAATTGATTTTTTAAGTCCAAACACATTGTATAAAATCAATACTTTTTGGATGAACAGCTTATAGAAAAAAAGGAGACAAATTCTTCGAATTAGGCTAGTATTCAAGTAAACCCCAAAAGATATTATTCACAGCAAATTTACAGCATTTAACAGATACAGAGTATGCGGTTGCTTGTTTTACACTGAATCCCAATACAATTATTACTAAACTTGCTAAAACCAATTCCAATCACATTATAATGGCTAAAATTGACTTAATTGAATGGAAGAAGGATAAGCATACTCCAAGTACAGTGAGAGGCAGCACATGTACCCACCTTTATACATCTGACAATGTTGAAAGCAAAAACAATGTTCTAAATATATGCAACTTTCAGCATTTAAGAAACTCAACACGCCTAACTTTTTAAAATGATTGGTGGCGAGATTTTTTTGTAAAGTAACATGAATTTCTTGTTTTAAAACACTTATTTTCCTACTAAATACAGACTTGTGGAGCATAATTAATTATACACTATATATATGTATGTATGTATATATGCAAAAACAACAGTGTGTTAAGCATTAAAAAACAGTCAGAAATATTCCGTACCTTGTAGAAACAACTAGTTCCAAATGGGCAGGTTCCATTTCCAAACTCAAAGTGCTTGCAATCAATTGAACTGGAAAAGAAATGCATTAGTAATACTTTGAAATATATGTCCAGCTACATACAAAAAGATAGCAGAATAAGACTGAATACACTGTTGAGACACTTAACAGCGAAAAAAGCCCAGCAGGAGCTACTTTTTCTTTCTAGTTCTTAAATGCAATTGTATATTGCAACAGATATTGGATTTTTCATTCACTCATAATTACGAATTTAAAAAGTTTGTGGTAGATAAATGTTTTGCACTCTCTCATACACACAAACTCTTGGATAGTTGGGGATAAAATTTGATGATGGACCAGTAAGAATAAATTTCAATCACACCCAACCAACAAAGTGTAGAACTAGGGCATTGTCTCGTCTGTAAAATCTAATAACAGTCAAATCTAAATAATAAACAAAGCATATGGTACTTTGGTAGCACAGTCCTTTAAGAGAAAATCATGACTATTGGTTTTTAACTTAAAACATATTCCGACTCAGATGGAGAGTGAGAGCGAGAGAAAAGAGATACCTGAGTTTTGATTTATAGTTCTCAACAATTTCACTTTTTTCTTCTTTTGAGGAGTACCAAAGAACACTAGGAATGACAAAATATGAAAGCTTCCGGCATATAGGGCAGGCCCTCAATGCTGAATTCACATCCAGTCCAGATGTGGGAGAACTACTTCGCCAATTCCTGATGCATGATATGCAGAACGGATGATCACACTCTGACAAGATTCCAAATTTACGTTCTGCTGCTGTTGGTTTAGAGAGAACACGCTCAAGGCACACACTGCACTCTATTTCTTGACTATGTTTCAATGCTTCGATGTGGTTTTGCCTTTTTTGACATGCCGTCATATGTTCCTCCCTCTCATGCGGCCTAAATGGATGCAAGCAATGTTTGCCACAAATGGGACATAAATCTCCATGAATATAAGGACACTTTGACCCACGTGGACAATCACCAGCAGCAGCAAAAGAGCAGATTGATTGATCGGATGGATTCAGACTCTTCATCTCAACTATATCATCATCAATATCTAATAAATCATGAGGCCCTGACTTTTGGTCCCAAATCTGTTTGTTGGGAGGGTCAAATGGTCTGTCCAAAACAAACTGTTCTGTGGAGATAGTTGGAAGAGCACTTGATAGCCTGTTCTGTTGAGAAGGTACTGAAGAAGATGGCGCAGAAGATTGTAATCGTGAAGACTTAGCATGCTCATATCTGCACCTGCTTCCATACGCGCAGATTCCTTTTTGGTAATAGGTGCATATCTGCAAATGAAACCCAATTACTAAGAGCTTGTCTAGGGCTCTAAGACCCTACAATTTCAGCTTTATTCAACAAATCAGCAGTTTTTGAGAAGTTGATCACTATTTGGCAACATTCTGCTTATTTAAACAACTTTTTTTAGAGTTTAAAGCTGTTTTTGAGAAGTTGGAATTTTTATGGATATATTCCAACCGCCTATGATTATCATTTGCTGCTTTCATACAATTTTTACCATAAAAATCTCACTTTTATTGAATCTAAACAACATTAATTATTATGAAGCCACGTTTCAGCAACCTTAATCCAAGAAAAACCCAATCCAAGTGATGATTGATTATAATCGGTTATACATGCAATGAATATTGAACAATAATTTTTGTAAGCTGTCGGCAAAAACACTCTAACAGGTCTCATACGAGGATAAACGAACTAAAGCATTTGAATTGGTAAAAATTATCATTGACTGGCTATTACTAAAGTATATAGTAAAGAATGTTACATTATTAGGAGGGGCTTTCCAATCATGTGAAAACTCGCAATGTTCCCCCTTCAGACAGGCCCCGTGAGCAAAAAACTTGCAAAGGACCCTGTAAAAATATAACAAAATGCAAGTAAAGTACTTCAGACTGGAAGAAACTTGAAGAGGAAGAAAATCATAGATTAATTGACTTGCAATAAACAGCAAAACTACACACAGAATTGCATTTATGTATAAAATACATAGCATAGTTACAATCAAGAGCATATTTAAAAAAAACCACGAGTGTTTGCTTGGGGAAAGGGAGCACAAAGCACATCTATGTAGCTGTTCTGAACCAAGAAAATATCTTTATTCTTAACGAACTTCTGTAGTACTAGACAAGTAGTAGACATCCATTAGAGAAAGAAAGAGGGGACTATAAGTAGTGATGAGGGCAATGGAAAATACAGCGATAGATAGAAGAAAGAAATGAGGATGAAGAGAAAGGGAAAGGGAAAATAGAGAGAATCTAATACCAGTTCTATGTCTACTGGCTTAAACTATTGTCAGATCTAATACAGGGACATTACACAACACCTCTCCAAATTGACAAAAACAACTAAGTGAATCCAATAGACCATTATGAATTCCAAAACGACACATCTAGATACCGTCATTATTCACAGCAACAAGACACGAATATGGAGAACTTTCCATAAGCATGGTTGGGATAAAGGTGGTAGTAATGGTAATGATGCACGCTCTTGGAAACAAGATCAGCAAAGGGAAACAAAACCAAACTCTCTGTTCATGTTATGGCAGATTAAGCATTTTTGAAGCCCCATTTCAATGTGTTGATGTTTCAATAGAACGGCAGAATCCGTCAATCATATCAAGAAGATACTTAGATACGTTTTGCAGCTTATGACATAAAGATTTAAAGATACAAATGGAACACATATCCACGGCCTAAAACCTAAAAATTTGTCGGCCACAATTAACACAACATCTCCCAAATTCTGCTTTGACAGAAAGACATAACAGAAATTATACTTTAATAATCAGGTAGCTCAGAATACAATTGGAGAGATTAATCCGCACATTCAAAACCGATTACAGCATGTAATCTGAGAAGAAAAACAAGAACACTGAATAGATACGGCAACTGCTACCTTTTCGACATGGCTTCGATCTGTGGCGAAGAATCCGAGCCGAAGAACAAATTCCGCTGGGAACGAATTAGAAATGTTGTGTTTCTGTTTTCCGTTTGTTTATGAGCAGTGAAAGCCAACGCATCGATGTCTACCTCTCGCTCATGGGTGAGAGGTGAACGTATCAGAGGCTTTTGGCGGTTCCACTGCTGAGGTCACAATAGGTCTCAATTGTGAGTTAATAAACGCTTGCCATTTTGGAAAATACCTTCAAATACCGGGTACCTTTTGAAATTTAAAAGAGCTCTTGGTGAGAACTGCAATTAATAAAAAAAGTAACGAGACGTTACAACGACGACTGATAGTCTGATATTGATAAGGATAAGGAATAATACGAAATGAAGGTCAAATCCATGGCAACCACTTCCTCTCCCTCCGTCTTGTTCTCAGCCACCGCAAAACCGCCGCAACAAGCCAAGCCTCAAATGTACAAGCCGCCGTCCAAGCCTCCCTTAGCAAACATAACAGCCGCCGTAGCGGCAACAGCATTAGCCACCACGATACTGACTGCGACACCGCCCTCCCTTGCGGAATCCCCGACCTACTCTGTATACTATGGCACGGCCGCCAGTGCCTCCAATTACGGTGGCTACGGAGGAAATTCGGACAAGAAGGCGTCGGCGGAGTACATCTACGACGTGCCGGAGGGGTGGAAGGAGCGTCTGGTGTCCAAAGTAGAGAAGGGAACCAACGGGACGGACTCGGAGTTCTACAACCCGAAGAAGAAGACGGAGAAAGAGTATCTAACATTTCTGACGGGATTCAGGCAATTGGCGCCGGCAGATGTGGTCCTGAACAATTTGGCGCTGTCGGATGTGGTCTTGCAGGACCTCATCGCCAGCTCCGACGGCGTTCGATCGGAGGAGAGGAAAGACGAGAAAGGGCAGGTGTACTATGACTACGAGATCGACGGGGCAGGAGCTCATAGCTTGATCTCTGTTACATGTGCTAAGAATAAACTGTATGCGCATTTCGTTAATGCGCCGTTGCCGGAATGGAATCGCGATGAAGATACATTGAGGCATCTTCACCAGTCCTTCAAAACAGTAGGATGAATAGCAGTTTTCACTGCAATAAGATCAGATCGTTACTGTACGATGCGGTAATGATCCTTGTGTCTAAGGATTCTTACTCAAAGGTCTGTAATTTTCGTTTGATGAAATCAATATCATCTTTTGCTCTCTTCAAGTGAAATGAAAGAATTTGTGCTCAGATATAACACAATCACACAATTCTGTTATGCAAAGAGATGCGTATTCCCTCAAGATGGAGATTGTGTGCGCTCCTTCTCGCTAAAATTATGTCCAAACTTGAAAGTGTTGTAGCACAAAATAGAAATCTTACTATAATCTGGTGCGCTTATGAAGATTGTTAACGGTCCTCACGGGATAATTAAGAGTAATTTACGTAGTACCAATAAACCTGGTTCGTTCGTTTTCAGAAACCAATTGGTCTGTCAAAACGCATACAGTATGATTCTTCATTTCCTGTTGTTTTCCTCCTTCCCTCTCCAATCGGACTCCATCGGTATTTGACTGGGGTCTGATTGAGTCAACCCCCTTGAGGAAGACGCTAGACGCCTAGACGCATACACACCGGACTAGGTGTGGGCAAAACATCCGGTCCCGTTGGTCCGTTCCGGTTCCGTTCCGAAGTTGTCCCGTTAAATTCGGGACAAACTATTTTTGTCCGGTTCCGATCCCGAACCGTTCTAAAACAAAATGGGACATGGACAAATAAAATATGTCTCCTTCCATCTCGTTGTCCCGAATTGAAAATTGTATGTTGTCGTGGGTTAGTGAGTCTACCATCAATTCAATAAGTAGTCCAAATAATGGTAATATTTATTTAGGTATTAGTTATCTAACATGTAGAACACCTAAAGGAATCTAAACTACCAAGTATGAACTATCTTCTATATTTTTTTTTTGAACTATCTTCTATATACTAAAAAGAAACTCACTTTTACTTTCACATATTTCACTTCTAATAATATTGTTTTAGCATTTCTGTTTTTGCAGATTTCTTGGTAGCATTGAGTGTATTGGAGGTATTGTTGTTGTTACAGTTTGTTTCTTGCAACTAACTATTCTATTAATCTACTATTTTTTGTGTTGCATTTATCGTAAATTTATTTATGTGTTGCATTTTTAGTGTTGTAGATTTTTGTCATGATGTTTTATAGGCTATTTTGTTTTTGCAAATCCTTTTGATGTGTTTTTGGTGTTGTATTTTTTTCACTGCAGTTTTTTTGGGATGTCTTGGACCATCCTGTTCCGTCCAGTTTTTTGGGATGTTTTTCGCTGATGTTTAATTTATTCTTTATAATCCTACTAGCCATTCTATGATATAAGAGATATCAATTAAATCATTCAAACACAAATTAAATAAAGATCATGCAATTAATCAATCATGAAATTAGTCCTAGATCATGACTAACTCCTTCATCAATCCCAAATCCCTAATTAAAACTAGTCACAATTAAAAAAACTCACAATTCATAATTGAAGAATGAATATAATTGAGATGAAAAGAATTAATTGTCATTAATTAAAAAGATTGACCTGACAAACCATCCCAAAATCTTGATGAACAGGGCTTAAAAAGCTCTCTGAAAACGTGATAGGGTTTATCTCTCTAAGCTCCGTAACATAAAACATGCAAAACGGGCTGTTTAAATAGAAAAAGCTGAAAACAAGGCGAAAAACGACATGCACGATTGTCCGCATGGCGTGCGGTCAATTGTGCGGTCGCGCGAACTAAATTTCCCGTTTCCGTGTTTACTCCGCCCGCACGGCCTGTGGTCACCCGCATGGTCCGTCCGTGCGGGCACTTTTGAGGTTTGCTTCTTAAACCGTGGGACGTGCGGGTCATCCGCGGGGCGTGCGGTTCCAATGCTCTGGCTACGCCCTTGAGTAGAGATTTATGCCAACTAGACAATTGCGTTACATACATATGCACGGAGTGGAGTTATATATATATATACACACACATACAGAGAGACAGAGAGAGAGAGAGGGAGAGGAATGATCCTGTCCAGCCGGAGGGACAGGATCCTCCGTCCGGCCGCCGCCGTTTGGGGTGGTTCCCGGTGGGGTTTTTTGATGAAATTTTTATGAATGCTCCTCATCAAGTCTAGTTTATCCACACAAAAATTCAGCTAAAAATTCGATCGGGAAGGCAGTCAAATAATTTGTTGAAGATAACTACGCCAAATTAAACATATAAAACACAGTTATGTTTCAAAAAATTATTTGACGGAGGATCCTGTCCCTCCGGCTGGACAGGATCTTTTCCGTGTGTGTGTGTGTGTGTGTGTGTGTGTGTGTGTGTGTGTGTGTGTGTGTGTGTCACCGCCCCCAAGTATTTGTACTTTATCAATTCATGTACTGAACCTTGATAAATGAATAAACTCATCTTTACGCGATTGTAAATTTTTATCATTCTTTTACGTGGATAGTAAAATCCACGTGGGGCCCACACCAGAGGTGGGGGCCGCCCGATATTATTGGGACCGCATATTATATTCATCTGGGTCTAGATAATATGTACATGATGGTGGATGTCCAAGTTGGGCCATATAAACCATGCGTGTTGGCCAGTTGTGCATATAAAGCCCATTTATCGGTACCGAAGGAATATCAGATAAAAAGCCATAATAAGTTATGGAGACCACCAAATTAAAGATGAGGAATATACATTCATTCTTATAGCCAATAATAATTGGAAGGATGAGATATATTTCATTTTACCCGATAAAATGAAATATAGTTAAAACAGTCCGGAAAATACAACTTTCGGGATCGAGTGTACACTCGGGGACACAAAGGGATGACCTCCCACATATGTGGGGGCCACCCCAAGAAATCATTTGAGACAAATGAGAGAGGGGGTCGGCTGGTGTGATGGAAGGAGGATGGAAGGGGAGGTTGAGAGGGTCGCCGGAGTTGTCGCCGGAGTTGGTTGAAGTTCACCGGAGTTTCACCGGAGCTCAATAAGGGAGGCTAGAACTTCATAAGCTTCTTTAAGGTGAGAAGACGGCTATATGCTTTATAACTTTTGATTGAGGCATGAGATTACCTAAAGTAATCAAGTATATGTCTTATGGAATGATTAAAGTAAATCAAGTATTGGCTTATGCCACGGTTATATATAAAACATAGTTGAAAAGCATGTTTTGTATGTTTGGTGATTAAAAATGTGATCACTTATTATGTACAATTCTCCAGGGATCCAAAATGGTATTTTTGGATCAAGGACGTCAAGGAGTACATGCGTATAAAATTTCGCGTTGATCGGACTCCGTTTGGGCGGTCAAACGGGCGTTGACCGCCGAGGCAAAGGTGATACCCGACCGGGTATTGACTAAAAATGGCCCCAGAAGCCACTGTCCTACTAGACCCGACCGGGTAAGGGTATGGACCCGACCGGGTCTCAAGTAAAATCAGTTCCAGGGGCTTCTGCCCCGACCTACCCGACCGGGTAAGGTTGGATACCCGACCGGGTATTGGACCATGCCCAAAACAGGCAGTTTTGAGCAGGTTAACGTGGGTCGTTCAAGTGGGACCCACCCACGTTGGTCACTAGGGATTATTACATGACTATAGGACTAGGTATTGTCCATAGTTAAGTGAATGAAAAGTTAGCCATATCCAGGTTAGGGTTTGGTTAGAATTAAGGTTGAGGTTGAGCATCCTCGGGACGGTAAATGATCCCAAAACTCGGTGAGGTTGAGTATCCTCAGGACGGTAAATGATCCCAAAAACTCGGTGAGGTTGAGTATCCTCAGGACGGTAAACAATCCTAAAACTCGGTGAGGTTGAGTATCCTCAGGACGGTAAACAATCCTAAAACTCGGTGAGGTTGAGTATCCTCAGGACGGTAAACAATCCTAAAACTCGGTGAGGTTGAGTATCCTCAAGACGGTAAACAATCCTAAAACTCGGTTGAGGTTGAGTATCCTCGGGACGGTAAATGATCCCAAAACTCGGTTGGGGTTGAGTATCCCCGGGACGGTAAACCCTCCTGAAACTCGGTAGGATATTATGAAGGTAGAATGTAGCTCTCAAGCTAGGCATTCAGGAATGGAAAGGGGATAGGTTGGGAAAGTACCTTATCTCTAAAAGACTCTTTGTGATAAAACGACCTACGGGTCAAGTATTTTACAAATATATACATTATGTATTATCTTGGGAATGGGGTAACAATGGTTACACCTATAAGCATATGTATCACCCTATTTTTGGGTCTCGTGTCTGAAACATTAGTTATTCCTCATATAGCCTGCTTGTCACTAGTACTTCTATGGAGTACTGACCCCTTCGGGGGCCCTCACATTTTTCAGGTTGAGGCTAGAGTCCTACTACCTGCACCTTCGCCAAGGGTGATTGATCAAAGAGGAAGACGTGGTTCGTGCTTCCATTCTTATTCAAAGTTTATAAACTGCTCATGGATGTTTTTAACAATGTTTTCCATTAAAACATTTGAGGGGCCTGCGTGTTCGTATTTGCCACGTGTGGCTAAGTATCAAACATATCTTCTTTTCCGCATTCGTTGACTAATATATATTGATGTTGATTGTATGGGTTTACTAATCGGTTTGGCAATAGAACTCAACGGACGCCTTGTATGATTCACTAAGAATGAACTACGTTGTTCTTATTGGGTTGTACGGCGGTTGTCTACGTGGCACGGATGCGGTCCGGGGCGTGACAGTGTGTGTGTGTGTGTGTGTGTGTGTGTGTGTGTGTGTGTGTGTGTGTGTGTGTGTGTGTGTGTGTGTGTGTGTGTGTGTGTGTGTGTGTGTGTGTGTGTGTGTGTGTGTGTGTGTGTGTGTGTGTGTGTGTGTGTGTGTGTGTGTGTGTGTGTGTGTGTGTGTGTGTGTGTGTGTGTGTGTGTGTGTGTGTGTGTGTGTGTGTGTGTGTGTGTGTGTGTGTGTGTGTGTGTGTGTGTGTGTGTGTGTGTGTGTGTGTGTGTGTGTGTGTGTGTGTGTGTGTGTGTGTGTGTGTGTGTGTGTGTGTGTGTGTGTGTGTGTGTGTGTGTGTGTGTGTGTGTGTGTGTGTGTGTGTGTGTGTGTGTGTGTGTGTGTGTGTGTGTGTGTGTGTGTGTGTGTGTGTGTGTGTGTGTGTGTGTGTGTGTGTGTGTGTGTGTGTGTGTGTGTGTGTGTGTGTGTGTGTGTGTGTGTGTGTGTGTGTGTGTGTGTGTGTGTGTGTGTGTGTGTGTGTGTGTGTGTGGATTTACCTAAATAGGACTAAAACATATGAAAATTTCCATTATAGGACTACTAGTTTCATCTGAAGTAGCGTAGGACTAAAATAACAATGGAATGCCGAAATTGCCCTGCGCCTCTCTTCTTCCGTTCGCTACTTGCGAGCCCTGTTGGGATCTCAAGCCCTGCTGCAATTTTATTTCCCAGGTAAGTTATTCTTGATCTCAAGCTACTTGTTTTTCTTCTTCTCTTCTCTTCCTTTCTCCTCTTCTCTTCTCCTCTCTTCTATTTTCTTCCTGATCGTACTCTGTTTCATTTTTATTTTAATTTTTTAATTTTCAGTCCACTTTCTTACTTTTGGGATTCTAAAAAATTATTTCAGATTAGAAAATTTTGGATGAGAAATTAAAACAAAGCTGCAGCGATTTTTGTAATCCTCTTCAAACTTATAGTCCCATGTTCTCTTCTTCTTTGCATTTATTGGATTTGAATTTTATTTATTCAGGAAAATGTCACGTTTATAATCTGAGAATGTCAAAATTATTGATTATTTGGAAAAACTGTCACATTTGTGGCAGTATATTTATCAGGATGACAATCTGAAAATTTCATATGTCCAAAAGAAAATGTCATTCTTATGGCATTCTATGGCATTTTTATGGCTTATCTGAGAATGACATAACTACTTGTTATTAGAATGACATGTTTTCTGACATGTTTTTTGAATGATACAATTTTTATGACAAACTCTCTCTTTAAAGATGGCTATATGTAATTGTCACAATCATGACATTTTGAGAGCAAACACAACATTTCAAAACAAACATAGAGGAAGAAGAAGAAAATACATGGAGGAGACAAAGAGAAGGAGAATAAGAACGACTGTCATGTTTTTACGTACTCCGTATGTAATTGCCACATTCATGACATTTTGAGAGCAAACACAACATTTAAAAAAAACAGAGGAAGAAGAAGAAAATCCATGGAGGAGACAAAGAGAAGGAGAAGAAGAAATCATAGGAGATAGAGCCGAATTTCTGAAATTGGTGGAGTTTCCAATAAACAAATTGAATGTAGATGGAGGAAGCAGAACAAGATCAAACATTCAAACCTGGAGTACTTTGAGACATAGCAGGAGAAGAAGATTGAACTTGGAGATTATATGTAGCAGAGAAGAACGAATAGTGCAGGAGAAGAGAAGAATGGACGGTGCAGGAGAAGAAGATCGATGATGTTAGAGGCGGTGTCTACGAGCAGGATGAACGATAATAAAAGCAAGGGCAATTTGGACATGGAAGAAACGGCGGAAACTAAAACTAGGAGCGGATGACTCCTATAATGGTAAAAAAAGATGTTATGTCCTACTTTGCCTTTTTATCTATGTTTTAGTCCCACTTTAGGCAATTTCTTTTATATATATATATATATATATATATATATATATATATATATATATATATATATATATATATATATATATATATATATATATATATATATATATATGCCACGAGAAAACATGAGGGGCAATTGTGTTAGACAAAAAATATGAGATAAGCGATTATATACGAAGTATATTATAGATAAAAACTTGTAAAATGATTTCACGCCACATATGATAAGCCATATGCACGTCACAATATCTTGATATTGTGCCTTTAACAAGATGCGCATAAAAATGACATAATTTAGATACATAACTTTATTAATCATATTGGACTGTATAAAAAGTTCGACATGTAAAATTTCCTTCTTTTTACTTTTACGATTTCCGGTAGCTACATGTTCATGATACTATTCATTAAGTGAATTACGAAACTACATAGTTACAAATTAAATAAGATCCCAAAGCAATCCCATGTAAACTACACAAATAATAAACATAAATTAAACTAATCACTCAATCAATTATAATTGAATTCAAATAGATGAATGACTGCATTTGGAGAAAGTTTTGGACATTGATGTAACTTCGAGGCCAATTCAGAGAAGAATTGTGCTACGCAATTCCTTGAGCACTCTCTGCAATTCCATTCTTTCCTCGATACCAAACATAGCCTCTCTAAGTTGGTAGCTCTTCTCAAAACAAACTCTGCAAGTTGTGGAAGCTCATTTTTGTTTTTGAAATCGTCTTCGGAACAACACCAATAACCGTGGTAAAAGTTAACCTCCTTCATTTTGTTCAAACGAGCACTGTTCACATTAAATTTGGAAACACAACCCTCTTTGCCTTCAGATATGGATGACTCCTCGAGTAACTGTAAAAAACAAAGTTAAGATCTGTAACATATTGTTGTTCTGAACAAGCATAAATTTATTTGAATGAGAGCATTACATGTTTTAAATAAAAGAAATGTTATGAAGTTTTAAAATGGACTCAAATTTGTTGTACAGATAAAAGTCTTTTTTTATATATGCATTTTTATTATTGTTTAGGTCTTATAGTCTAGTCCGCGTGTTTAAGTCTAGTCTAATCAATATGTGTATGTTTGTAATTGCACTTTTAATCTATTCAATTCTATTTCGTTCACCGATTTTCAACATTTTTCACACAAAAAATTACCTCTTTCATATTATTTACAGGGGGATTACAGACATGGTAATTGGAATCGTAATACTCCTCCTGACCCGTGAATATCTGTGGAGTATCGAGTAACTGTCAAATGATAAATAAGTGAATAACATGTTAGTTATTAGAATAAAGGACCAGAGAACCTTCAATTCTCATAATTATATATCTCATATTCCATATATTAAAGTTTTGCAAATTATTATGAAGATAATAAATTTGCAAAAAATGAAATGAATACTATGGAAATGTCCATGTTCTTAAACTTTCAATTAAGAAGTATAAAATCTTGGGCTTTTATTCGAGTTATCATGATTTATTTGAGAGTTCAAACGATTAATATAATTTCTTGTATCATTTCATCTTTTCCTTTAATTTATACTCCGTAGGTTTTATTGATAAGCACCGCGAAAGCGTTTCTTACAAGCAAGTTTTTCATTATGCTCTTTTAATTTATAGGTAGTACGGAGTAGATTAAAGGTCAAGTATTCCGGATCTCAAAATCAGTCTGCATTGTTCAATTCAACTCCTGAACTAAACAAAGCCTTATTTGCACCTTAAATTTTCTAAAAAAAATTCAAAGTCTCATTTTTTATAAGTTCTGTATAACCGTCAAATCATGCATCTAAGAGCCACACAATGCCATTCTTTATGGTCTAGATTATGTGTGCCACGTCACCCAATTTAGAACTCTGTTTTCGGCTTATCAGGCTTATCAGCCAGCTTTTTCACCAAACACGTAACTTTTACTTTCGCGCGCTGAATTGTGTAATAAGCCGAAAAAGTAAGGTTGGAGTTACTTTTCTGGCTGTATTGGCTGAAGTTACTGTAGAGGACCATTTTAGCTATTTTTACATATAATTTTTTCTTTAATTTATTAATAAAATATATTTCTAAAATATTTTTTTCTTAAATCAGCAGAATCAGCCAAAACAGCCACTCCATCCAAAATATCGAGCCCGTTTGGTAGCACAAAAATCGGCTGTTTTGGCTGTTTCTGCTGAAATTTATGAAGTTCTGGCTGAAGTGGCTGTTTTGGCTGATTCTGCTGATTCTAGAAAAAAAATATTTTAAAAATATATTTTATTAATAAAATAAAGAAAAAATTACATGTAAAAATAGCTAAAATGGTCATCTACAGTAACTTCAGCCAATACAGTCAGAAAAGTAACTCCAACCTTACTTTTTCTGCTTATTACACAATTCAACACGCGAAAGTAAAAATTACGTGTTTGGTGAAAAAGCTGGCTGATAAGCCTGATAAGCCGAAAAAAAGGGGTCTCCAAACGGGCTCATCATAAATTTCAGCAGAATCAGCCAAAACAGCCGATTTTGGTGCTACCAAACGGGCTCTATATGTATCTATTTTGTTTCCAATGCAGGTAGTCACACGTTCTGTGTTGGTGAGCTGGCAACAAAAAATGGTAGATTGTATGAATTATTTAAATGAAAATTAAAAGTAATATAATGGACCAATCAAAATATTGTAGTTGAAGTATTTTAATGAAAATTAAAAGTGATATAATGACTTGGACAAATCAAATGAATGATAGGTATCATACCCCATTTTTTAAATGGGTACCAGAGTTGTCACCCAAAAAAATTAAACAGTGTGAAGGTGAATGTTCGAGTATAGAAAGTCTCATCCACTTGCTGACTGAATAAAAAAAAGGCCGAGTTCGTAAAACATCTGGGAAAACGAAAAAATTCTTCGTGTAGGTCGGTTTGGAGAAACTCTGAAAAAAGTCTTTTCTTAAGATTCTCAAATTATCGAAGAATTTTGGTTCTCGCAAATCAGGGAAGAAGTCTGATTCTCACAAATCCTCGAAGAAGCTTATTTTGACATGTGAAAATTACTTCCCCCTTAAATTTCTAGGAAAAATCAAGTCATTTATTACTATTCGAGGACAATTGATTTTTTACTTATTGGACAAGTGAGTGAAGAATTTGTTGCTATTGATTTAGATTGTTTTGATGATACTAAATAAATATGAATATTGAGTATTTATGACGAAGTACTCGGATACCTTAAGAAGAATAAAAAATGATGTCTGTATCAATTCTTATACCCACTTTTGTACTCACCTATGTTTGTGAAGGTTCTTTTGTCTATGAATCCCGATTCACAGACAATATTTTGCACATATTAGTCGAGAAGAATTGAATAACAAGGGTATCTGAGTCTATTTGATGTTTGCCTAACTCACTTACTTTTAATCGACAACTTAAGTTTTTCATAAAACTAAACAATTCATATATTAACGATAAAACTATTAAGATCCAGATTGCATCCTAAAAGGTCCACTTGATGGGAGGTGTAATCTAGATCTTAATATATCACTTAATTCCTTCACAAATTTTTGGTGTGGGAATTCAACACCCCTCCTCTCAATCAGACACTTCATCTGGATCGTGCTGACATTCATTTTTTTATTGATTCGTTATTGACATTTTTATAATTGTGTCATCATTTTTCATAAGGGGACTCACATTATGAATAGATTTGGCTTTTATATCATGTTAAGACTTGGGCTATGTTTGGGAGGCATAAATCTCTGACTTCTAGCTTTTGTACTGTTCAAAAAGTCTTTAAAAGTTTCTAGTTATATGTTTGGAATGACAATTTTTAAGAGCTTTTAAAAAATTAAAAGATCTTTTTTGAGATGCTACATGCAGTAGCATCTGAAAAAAGCCCGTGGCTTTTAGTATTAATTAGCCCTAACAGCTTGTATACCAAACCGAACTAAATCAAACAGTCAGCTTTTTATCAAACAGCTACCACCTTTTCCTTTTAAGATCTTTTCAGACACCAAAAGCTAACAGTTATTAAAAAGCTCACAAAAGTATATTTTCAGCTAGTTGTGCCAAACATACCAAGTTCCATCATAAAAAGTCAACTTCATAAGAACTAGCAAGGATAATTTAAATATTAAAAGAGCACTTAATTCTTTCCGAAAAAGTAAGAAGATGTGGCTGACCGGCGAAGAGCGTAAATACATGTCCAAAGTTTCCAAAAGAGGTAATGCAAGGATGAATCTTGCTATTCCGGATATGTTGTAACTCTTGAGGCCACCACGTAGGACCAGTTCTTTGCAATTGAACTTTGAAGCCGCTACTTTCTTGAAGTCGAAAAGTGAAAATGCCTAATCACAAATGAATGGCAAGCGATCAATAAGCAAAAAACGAATAATTGAAACAAAAGAAATTTTTAATCCGTTTAATCTCATCATATTCTATTGTTTGTTACTCCGAATAATAGAGGTTGACATAAAGGCAAAGTGTAGCAAAAAAAAAGAATAACAAGGGAGTATTTAGCTCAAATGTAAAGATACAAAACATTTTTTTCTCCAAAAAAAGTAATACGAAAACTTTTTCAGTGAAATTGCCTTACCTGTCAAGCACTACATGTCTATATAAATCCTTCTCCATATTTCCTGTTTTTTGTACTATTGTAAATGACATTCTTTTGTGTACGTCTAGTTTCTCAATCAACAATTCTTGGCTTACATAGAATTTGTACACACTTGACACACATTTGTATGTAATTGTATGTATTTACCTCTAGTTGCTTGTGTACACTGTCAGTTCATGCTGCAATTGTCTCTATGCACAGAAAACTACGTACAATGTGTGTCACATGTGTAAAATTTCGTCTACAAATTAGGTTTTTTTTAGTATGCGTACGGTCCCAATCCAAACTCTAATAAAACAGATAATCCGTATTTGTGAGTGCATGTTTGGTATATAATAGACCATGTTGAATTGATGTCTGCTTTAAATTAAGGGGTCAAATTGGTACATGAACTAACTTAAAGTGTTCAATTAGCCCCTTATATAGGAGGTTCTGCCCGGCCGTCGCCAATTGAGGCGGTTCCTGATGGAATTTTTGGATGAAATTTTTTGAGCATCTTCTTCATTAAGTCCAGTTTACCCATACCAAATTTCAGCTACAAATTAAATTCAACAGAGAAGGCAGTCAAATGATTTTTTTGAAAATAACTGCGCAGTTAAACAGCGTAGTACATTTCGGAAAATCATTTGACTGTCTTCCCGATTTAATTTTTAGCTGAAATTTGATATGGGTAAACTAGACTTAATGAAGAAGATGCTCAAAAATTTTCATCAAAAAATTCCACCGGAAACCGTCCCAATTTGATAAAGGGCTAATTGAACACTTTAAGTTAGTTCATGTACCTATTTGACCCTTTAGCCTTAAATTAATTCAACCATTACTATTTAGATTGCAAAAGATTCCATCTTGAGTCTATAGTGTCACTAGCGCAATTTGACCACCAAATTAAAACGTCCGGTTGAACGCACAACTATAAAGCATAGTTTTTGGAGGAAAAATGATGACACCCCATCCCTGAGGGTCTCTCAACACTGATCGGACATCATAATGGAGGATGTAAATTGGACTATAATCATAATCTAACAGATAAAGAGTGGGGCTCCGTCCCCGGTACTTGCAGAGACCCTATGCATTTTTAGCATAATAACCTCTCATCGCAATTGCTAAGATTCGAACCTAGAACCTAACCCTTGTGGCAGTCCCTCGCTACCAATTGAGCTACGCCCGCCGGTAAAAATTAAGGTATGGGTAAACTTTTTATAGTGACTAGCTCCACCGCTTTCACGGTCCCTTACCCCAGAAACCCAACTTTGGCTTGGCCCTACGGGTTAGTATACACCGCTTGGCCCTACCACTTGAAGGGTTTTTTGGGGGAGCATAGTTCCACTGGTGCTTGTGAGACTCGAACATGAGACCTCTCCTACGCAGGGGTAACCTCACAACACGTTTGCTAAATAATGCATATATGATTGCTAAAATAGTTTTCACTTTTCAGTGATTTGAGTATAATTTAAGGTTGATATTAAGTCTGTTTTTTAAGTTTGATTTGAATTGAGTTTGATATTATATCATTTATATGCGTTTTATTACTACGTAGTATTTAAGTTTAGTTTGATAGGAGTACATTTGATGATTCCATTTGACGTAAATTTTTCAAGTAATGCTTGATCTAGTCCAGCACTCCAGCAACTTAAATGGTTAAATGATAACAAATACGGAGTACGTAGTATGAAACTTGAAATCTTAATAACGTTAAACCGTAATGAGCAATCAATTTGACTAAGACGTATTATATTAGAATCAATTAATAACGTTAAACCGTAATGAGCAATCAATCTGACTAAGAGGCCGTTTGGCAACACCGTTTTTTGGTTTATCAGGCTTATCGACCAACTTTTTCACTAAACATGTAACGTTTGATTTCGTGCGATGAATTGTGTAATAAGCAAAAAAGCAAGGTTGAAGTTACTTTTCCGGCTGTATTAGCTGAAGTTACTGTAGATGATTATTTTAGTTATTTTTACATATATTTTTTTCATTATTTTATTAATAAAATATATTTTAAAAATATCTTTTTCTTAAATCAACAGAATCAGCCAATGCAGCCACCTCAACCAGAACTTCATAAATTTCAGCATAATCAGTCAAATCAGCCGATTTTCGTGCTACCAAACGGGCTCTAAGACTCCATAACAAGTGCATGAGCTTCAAGATTGAACAAGCCACCATTTTATGACTAAGACACAATGATCGAGCATGTGCTAGATTGGGTTTAAATAGGTATAGCCAAGAGGAAAATATATCATTTGAAAGGAGTCTCGGTAATTATGGAATATGGAGTAATATTATGGAATATGGAGTAAGGATGTTTTCTTTTGGACTGAAATTTGCTGGTCTGACCTGGTCTATTTAAGTCTGGTTTGGTCTGGTCTGGTCTGGTCTGGTCTATTTAAGTCTGGTCTGGTCTAGTCTGAACTGGTCTGGTCTACTCTGGTAAACGTCTGGTCTCTGTGTATTTTATAACTACGGAAGTCTGGTCTGGTCTGTTTAAGTCTGGTCTGGTCTGGGACTGAAAACAATCCAAAAGAAAACATCCTAAGATTAGAGTCTTAGAGTTCTAATCCATTAAACAGACTACAAAAAACAACGATATCAATACGAACTTGACACGAATTGGTCAAATTTGGTATGTATCTTAATGGCCTTGTTTGGCAATCGGCTGTTAGCTGTTTGATAAGCGTTTTATTGACGTGTTTTATATATTCATCTTAAAACGCTTTATGCTTAAAAAGAACAAAATCTTCACACATATGCCTCGTTTTGCTAGAAATGCTCTAAATCGAAGATTGGACCAAAAACAAGGATGATAGAATACACACGAAGAAAATTGACGGAAAAAGCTCAACCAAACGCATCTCGAGGAACAAACGAAGTCCAAAAAAAGGCACAAGATGAGCAAAAGCCGCCCGGGTTATGCCAAAGGCGGCCGGCCTTTGCTTACCCAGCTTATTTTCGCATCCAAAGAGAAGAAAAGGCGTCCGGAGCAAGAAAAGACGAAAGCCGCCCGGCTTTCGTGAAAACCGGCCGACTTTCATCGCCGCAGAATTAATTCAGTAAATTAAACCAAAAGCCGCCCGGCTCTTGGCAAAAGGCGCCCGGCTTTCGACCCCTGGAGCGGAGAAAGATTATTTTAAACGCGCAAAAGCTGTCCGGCTTTTGCGAAAGTCGTCCGCCTTTCGTCTGGAACTGATTAAAACAAGCAACGATCATCACAATCATTCGGGAGAAACTCGAAATAAACCCCATTAAGGAGCTTGCTTCCTTGTCCAAAAATGGTCGTTAGGAGCTCAATATTTAAGCATGTTCAAGCCCTCTCAACACATTATTCCATATTCCATACACTTTACTTCCATTTTAGCATTCCAAGATCAACCCCTTGATCTTGGGAGAAGTTCTACACTTGGGGATTCCATTGTCCACCATAGCTTTGGAGTTGTGGTACTACTTTCTTGTGTATTTCATTGTATTTTTATCATTTCAATACTTGTAATTTCATTATGAGTTGCTCTAGCTAATTTTTCATAGCCAATGTTAGGGATGAAACTTTACGCACTCTAAGTGTTTGATGTATGTTCTCAACCAAATTATTATGATCTTTCCTTTATATTTTAATGTGTATGACTACGGTGTACAACGTATGATTATATCGTTGGGTTTATTTGAGCAATTAACGTTGAGTTATAAACCGTGCACTTAAAGGATAGACATATTCTAATTGTGGATAGAAATATACCTCAATTGAATATGGTGGTTTTAATAATGTCCTAATCTTCAATGAGTTTAATTTTAGATGAATGTGAACCGTGACGGGATTCACACGTAGAATTAATCACAATCTCGCTGCCGACAGGAGTTAGAATACTTTAGCGACATTCCACTCATAAGAATTGGTGAAAGAATATACATTAATCGCTAGGGGTCGTTTAGGAGTAATCCCGAACCCTTGGTTGCTTTTATTATCACTTGAAAACCAAAAGTTTATACTCTTTTACTAAGACTTTTACAAATTCCATTCTCAACTTTTGAATCATATAAACAACGTTTCCTCGTGTTCGACCCAATATTTTTACCGGATTTTATTACTGCATTGGCACTTGTACACTTGCAAGTTTAAGCCGATCACTGTTAGCTAGTTATGATAGCTAATTGATAATAGCTGGTTGTGTCAGCTGTTTTAGTTAGCTGATTATATTAGCTTGTTGTCAATAAATGTTTGGTAAATTAGCTATTTAGGAATAGCTGTTTGCATGCAAAAAGACATATAAGAACATTATTATATTTTATTTTATTTTATTTTATTATAGTTATGGCTTATAAAAAATAATATTACCTGCATTTACAGAGTATAAGTCATTCAAATTTTAGAAATTGATAAATACAACTGCTTGAAAATAAAATAAATTAAAATAACATTTTAATTTATTTGAATAATATGAATTAAAAAAATCAACTTTGTATGCATGTGATTTAAAAAACTAAAGAAGTGCGCTGCTAAGCATATACGAAGAACTACGTATTACGATAAACATATAATAGTAGTCAATAGGTATAAATTATAAAATGAAAAGATAATTAAATAAAAAGCTAAGCTAAAAAGTACTCCATATTAATTTAAGAAAATAATGGAATACGTAATTACCCAGCTAATCTGATCTATAAAATCCACAGAAATATTAGGAGCATCGTAAAGATTGACATGAGTGTTTAGAAGGAGTATATTATTGTAAAATTTGAACAATCCAACATGAAACGCTTCCATGCCTAGCGTTTCCAACATTGGCTGTTTGGGATGAAGAAGCTGATGCAAGAAGCTATTTACCAAACATATTATTTAGCTGGTCAGCTAGTCAAAGCAGCTAAACTTAGTCAAACAAGCCAAATAATGGCTGATAAGCCATTTACCAAACATGACCAATATATTTTTGGCACAAATAGCTAGTGACAAAACGGCATTGACACGAAATTTGACACAAATTTGACGAATCTGTGCTTCGTTGTTTTTTCGTAGTGAGAATTTCATAGTTTGACTTTAACATAATTTAATTTTTTAAGGAAATTAGAATGATTATCTTACTTTTGGAAAACCATATCTAAAAGAGTAAATATAAGTTTAGTAATTTACTATTTTCATACTGAATTACTGGCTAATGGATATTATTTGATATTATATCGTCATTATTCTTTTTATTATTTGAGGCTAATGGGATAAACTGATAACAATTCATTTCCAAATAAATGAGGAGGTGATTGTTTAAAATTTCACCTCTGTGTTTGGGAGTTATGTTTTGAAGGGGAGAGAAGGTTCAATGAGTTCATGATCGTCCTTTTCTTGTTTAGGAGTTTAAAAAATATGAGAGGTTTGGAGGGCTTTTGTAACTTCTAAGGTGTTTTTTTTACTTAGAGTGAAATTTGCTGCTCCGGTCTATTCTGATCTGATCTTGTATGAACTAATCTAGTCTAGTCTGGTCTGATAAATGTCTGAACTTTGTGTATTTTATAACTATCCAAATAAAAACATCCTAAAATCTTTCAAATGATCAATTCTTATATTCTTTCAATTTGAGTGTTTTTATAAAATAACAAATTAAATGATAATTTCAATTCAATTTAAAATGAATACAAATTGAACTATTTGAGTTCGATATATATCTTAAGTGATTTTAATTATACTTATTGTAGTTTTTTATAAATTTATAATTCAAACAAAATAGATTTCTCTTGCTTCCCATTCTTTTCCCCACTCATGTCTAATAGTCAAAATCTTTCATCCCTTTCCCACTCCCAAACATACACTTAGGAATAGAGAACTCACATACCTCCATAAACCAGGAGGTAAAGGAAAGGCGCTGAGCGTGAGAAGCGCCGCGAAGAAAGCCATTAATTTTGTCAAGTTTCATCTCACAGTCGAAGGTAGCATCCACCAAGGAGGAAACATCCACAAGGCGGCAATCGGCCTCGCCGTAAACCTCCAGATTTTGAAGATGAGGAGCGCGGATATCCAGCAATGCATTGTAGTTGTACTCCAGATCCATTGAGATACAGCTCTCCAATATCAGCGTCTTCAGCCTTGCCGACTTGATTTTGAGTTGCCGGAAATATCCGGAGTGGCTAAGCTCTAGTGTTTCCAGGGCCGGACAACCTGCGAGCAGTCTTTCTACTTCCTCGTCGTTCAGTTTCACTGTCCGCAATGTTAGTCGCGTCAGACAAGGCCAATTAATGACTTGAGTTTTCCCGAGCTTGAAAAACTTCAGTTTCAGCTTCTTTAGGGGCAAATATGACACTAGAATCTCCGGCAAAGTTATATCGTTCCAAGCCGCCTGTTTTTTTAAACAACGACCCTCATATTACATTACTAAAATAAAAATGATAAACAATAGTGTGACCTATTGTACAAATTATAGTGATTATAATAATGACTTTTCATGACTATGAACTACGGAGTATATTATTATGTTCAATTTCATATTAGAGTGACCCTAGTCACATGTTTGTACATGACATTTATTTGGATAGTACTCTAGGAAAACCATCTTTCTTTGTGTCCCATATTAATTTCATATTAGAGTAACCCTAGTCACATGTTTGTACATGACATTTATTTGGATAGTATTCTAGGAAAACCATCTTTCTTTGTGTCCCATATTAATTGCATATACATGACATTTTTTTTCCTACGAAAACCATCTTTCTTTGTGTCCCATATTAATTGCATATATATATAAACAAAACATGAAAAGATTGAGTTTCCATCCATAAGCATATTTACCTAATTTTGCATCTCATTTTTTAAGTCATTTGAATTTACACCTAAGTTACTCTATTTTTATTAAATTTGACCCGACATAACCTCTAATTACGCTATCAAATCATTTCAATTTTGTGGGCTGCTATCAATTTATCATCAAGGGTCTAAATGCAGAAGAGTGCCTAGGGTTAGGCGGCAAGTGTTGAACAGATTCCATGGGAGCGTGAGTAACGTAGAGGGCGTCAAGACCGGACCAGTGGCGCTGAGAGGCTAGGCGGCTAAAGTTTGAAGATAACTGTGCAGTTAAACAGCCCAGTGCATTTCATAAAATAATTTGATTGTCTTCTCGATTGAATTTTTATCTGAAAACTGGTATGGGTAAACTAGACTTAATGAAGAAGATGCTAAAAAAATTTCATCAAAAAATTCCATCGGGAACCGCCCCAATTGGCGACGGCCGGACAGAGCCTCCTAAATAAGGGGTGATTTGCAGTTTTTAAGTTAGTTCGATGACCTATTTGACCCTTTAGCCTACAACAAATTATTGATAATACTAATGGAGTGTTTGGTAAAGATTATAATAAGTGATTTTAAGCTTTTAGCTTACAAAAGGTTGAAATGAGTGTTTTCAAATGACAGCTTCTGCTTTAAACTGCTTTTAACTTTTTTTATTACACAAAAAGAACTTATTCTATCAAACACTATCAACTTTTTTTAATAATCACTTTTTTCTCAAACACTGTCAACTTTTACTTATTAAGCACTTTCCTCAAAACCACTTTTAAAAATAGAAGCAATCATAACGACTCCCTAAGAATTATTTCGCTACCACAAATCAAGTGACACGCAAGCCAAGTCACCTTCGAAAATAAAATAAAATTATCACCTTCGAAAATAGGAAAATCTTAAACACGTTGTAATATACTCCGTACTCCGTATTAAATACTATCGTATACGTAGTATAGGGGTTGACTGTGTATGACTTAACAATTCCTTCCAAAGTTCAAAAGAAAAAAAAAAGAGTACAAAAATCAAGCGTTAACCCAAATTGGAGTTATACATACTTGTTGCATGAGGGCGATGTCATCCGCTTTGTGGTCGACGGCGAACTGTATCCAGTTTATGATCCCGGATATATCCTGGTCTTCCAGAAGTTTGAATTGAATCCAGAACCGGTCGATCTTGCTAGAGTCGCAGCGGTTCAGAACGTGGTCGACGAAGGCGAAGAATCCATTCTCCGGTCCGACGTTCTTCCTCACAATATCATCGTAATCGCCGAAGAAACAAACGTTGATGACATGATTCCATAGATTCTCCCACCTCCTCGACAGCACCCCGGTTCTGCAACTTTCCGTTATCGGAACTCTGGAAAGTATGTTGGTTAGTATCTCGTCCGGCAGCGCACTAATCCGATCTTCCTGCATTTGCGCCATTCTTTGCTTTGTAATTAGTATTAATTTTCTACTTCGTATTATTATTATTATTAGAGATTATTAGAAATGTAAAGTAGACTAGTAATGGATTTGATTGCCCACCAACACGGATTCGGTGGCTTTTATAGATCGCAGATGAAGAGGGCGTGGGTAAGAGGTTACTCGGTCCACCCAAATTTAGAGAATGCTTTTTTAAAACTTTTTCTGTTCTTTCAGGGAGTAGAAGCAGAAGTTAGAGTGTTTGAGTGAAAAATGCAAAAGTGAATATGGTGCTCGAATTTACTCCTACAATCGGTTTTCTTAGAAGCTGGGAGTGAACACATTCTGAAAACTAATTCTGCTTCTGCTTTAAAAAAGAAGCAGAACCAACCAGAATCACTTCCAAAACACCTCCTTATTAATTGAATATAATGTTTGCTAAGAAACCGAGCTTTCCATCCAGCTCTAGGAGTACTACTCCTTCATTCTTATCCACTAAATAGCGTCGCTTTGCACTTTACACGACAAAGACACCGCGAAAAGATACTCCGTATTTATTTCTTAGCTTTGAAGGAGAGGCTAAAACTTTGTTAAACAATGCACAAGTGCACAACAGCTAGTTGGGAACTTGGGACTACTTTAGACTTACGGAAATTATCATTGACCCTGAGGTTTGATACATTATCAATCACACCCCTATACTATAAAAAATATACTCTTACCTCCCTCTATATCCTTTAATGATGGTTAAATAACTCTTAATTTATATTTAGAGAAAATTATGAATATAATTTCATAATTTTTCTACGAGTCTGCTTTTAATATTGTAATTTTATTCAACCACAAATCTGGTCGGGTAATTAATAAAGTTGTCCATATTAAAGACATTTCTATTGGAAGTCGAACCAAATAAAAAATGACCAAAACTGACCTTACACTAGGTATTTCGTTTTATGCATTTCAATTTGTAAAGTGAGTAAATTTACTCAATAGAAAATGATCAAGATATGCTAAATTTGACAAAAATTGAAACAAATGAACATTAATGAACCAAACCGACTCAAAAGTGAAGTTTCCTACTCGATTTAACCATTAAAAATTGAATGCAAGAAAATTCCCAATTCAGACACTCTTTGTTATCATTGAAAATGAGATCACTATATATAGGTATAATAATAACTTGTAGATTTAAATATTTGACAAAATATGAACATGTTTACATGTAAATTAAAATATTAGTACAGACATTATAGTTTAGGACGGGTTCCACACCCAAATTGGTTAGTGCTAAATAATTAGGGCGGCCCGTGGCCTTATCTTCAGTTCCAATCCCCTAATTGGTCTAGGTTCGCTCCCAATATTTTTTTAACTACCTATATTTCTACTTTTAAATGGAATATAGCCCAATTTAAAGTGTTCTCAATGATTGTAATAAAAAAAATGAACAGGGTCAAAACATGGACTCCAATCCCGATCCCATAAAGTGAGGCCTGAGGCCTTTTTTCACTGGTCTGGTCTCGATCCCGATCTAAAATTAAAAATAAAAAAGAAATAAAACTAATTTAAATATATAAATTTTTAAAATAATTTTTTAACGGTCATTTTACGTCTGAAAAGCTAATTGCAAATTTTTACCTAGTTACTAACATTTTATTTCAAACCACTAATGAAAGCGGATAGTTAAAAAGCTAATGTAATCCGCTATTATCAATCTGCTGATTCAACCGGGTATGAGCTAGCAACAACTACTGTTATCAAACACGGTCGTTAACATTTTTAGACCTCCACTTTTGATGACAAAATCAAAGTAAAAGAACGACAAATGTCAATTTCACAATACTTAAAATATGAAATGTCGGGAATTCTAAAGTCGAGGACAAAAGTTTATTACTTACAAAAAATTGACCAAAGTAAGTATTTCTCATACAAATTTCCAATAGGTAACAATATAGTCTCCTAAAAGTCCTTCACCAACATCTGTTTTAGGTATAAAATAACCATGCTCATTATTTGGCATCTTTCCCTCGTTACAAAAGTTTCACCAAGATTTGTACAATCTCAGATATATTTTCAAACTTTTAAAAGTATTAGAGATTTATTGTTTTAAGCTTGTACCTTTCGATTGTGTCTGCTACTAGCTAGTCCTATAATTTTACTCACATGTAGATGTAGTTATGCACCCAATAAATTTGCCAATAATAAGGATTATTTCATCATAAAGTACGCGTTCCCACGACAAAAGTATGTTCTGGTGGAAAGATTCTTAATACAGATAAATTTATTTATAATCAGATTAAATCTACAAGTGAGTAAATTTATAAAACGAAATTCATACTCTTGCTAAACGTAATTAGGAGTTAATACACTTTCATTAAAGGATAGGGAGGGGGTAAGTGCATATTTTCAATAGTGCAGGGGCCTAAATGATAATACATGAAACCTCAAGGGGGGTTAATGATAATTTCCCTTAGACTTATCCTTACGCCTGAAGGAGAGTATAGGGAACTAAGCTTAATTTATAGGTGGGTTACATCACCGTTTGAAGCCTTGATGATTGACTTCAATTCTTGACAAATCGCTGAGCCACTCACCGCTTTGCAGCATTCTTTAGTCTTGTTGATATTGAAATTTGAAAACAACAAATCAATTTGGATGAGTTTTGCGAATTGGGAGTTTTGAACTTGGGAGGCCTAACATAAATTGGTAATTTTGTAATTAAAAGGATTATAAAACTTAGAGATCCGAAGAGAATTAAGAGAGATGTGTCACTTTACATTTATTTTAAAAATTGAACCTTGAACCAATTAATTGAGCTTAAAAATTTAAAAAAGAAGTCTACTCACACTACATACAAAGAAATATTTTTGGGTCTATTGTTTCTCCCTATTTTCTTGGACCTAGGGCGGTCGACCCTTTTGCACCCCCTAGGGCCGCCCCTACTTGTCGATTGGAGAACATTACACTAAGTAGCAAATGATCTTAGTTGTAAACTAGTAACCCTATAGTCTTAGGTTTTGCTCCGACTTAATGGACTTAATGATAATAATGACTTAATCATTCAGTAACTAAATCATGTTTACTTACGACTTAATTGGAAGCATGACTTAGTCATTCAATCAAAAAGCAGACATAATTGTTAAGCTGAAGATTGAATAGGAGTCCTTCCCATTAAGTGCTTTTTCTAGTCAATTTCTGCAAAAGATATATAATAATAATAATAGAAATTTTGATTGACATTATAATTTAAAAATAAAACTAATTTGACTATTTTAATCGATTCAATTCAGTCTGTTTATTCAACATACAAAATAAACAGGCTCATATACAAATATCACTTAATCCAGACAAAAATCTTAACAAATATCACAAATATTTGTACCTTTCTTATCCTGACAGGATTTAACGGAAAAAATCCCGTTAGAGGAAATTAGAGATGTTTTTTCTTTCCAATGATGATCATCTAGCTTCATAGTTAATTGGAGTGATAACGTAATTAGTATTTTATCGCGTCTCAAAAAATAATGTGAATGTTACATTCTTGTTGAATGTGATGGAGAATAATTTTGTAGATATAATTGCTTATTCCTATTAGTTATGCAATACTAGCGGAAATCAATTTTGTTGACCCCTCAATGAGGGGTGATCTTCACGAGTCCGATTTTGTTCACCTCCTCTAAGGAGGCTGAACATTACGCCCTCCCTCCTATACATGTAATTTGGGATTACAATAATTTTTTTTATTAAAATTAATATAACTCTTTTTATTAATGATCTAATTTTCACAAAAAATACTATGTATTAGATTTGATACTTTCTTTCCAATGAGATCCATATTGCATATAAAAAATTGATACAAAACATTTTTCCTTAAATCTATTTTTAGTCGGATTGTTTTAATTTTACATATACAACATTGGTATGATATGAAAGATCATACAAAATTAAAAATATTGATATATTTTTTGAAAACATTGAACCAAAAATAAAAGTTAGGGAAAATGAAAACTAATAATCCAACCTTTTAGCAGTCTTCTTACAATAGTCCCACCTATTCGTTATTCATGAATAATCCAACGGAAATTGTCCTAAATAGGACTAAAAAGTTCCTAAAAAGGACAAATAGGACTACTATTTTTAAAATTCCCCAAATAGGACTAAACATTGATTTTCTACCCTAAATACCCCTAAGAGTATTAATTCATAATGAAATGCTTTAATTCATAATAAAATCACAAAAAACGTAAAAAAATATTTAAAAAACGTAAAAAAATTAAAAAAAAATTATAAAACATTTATAAAATAAAAAAATTAATTTTTTATTTTTTTATTTTTTTTAAAAAAAATAATAAAAAATAGTAAAAACCCATAAAAAATGAAAAAAATTATGGATATCTTTCTCACCGCCTCCCGCCGCCTCCCAGCACCACCACCTCCGATTGGTGAAATTTCTTCCACTTTTGGTAAAAAAAATGCCATATTTTTCTGAAAATGCCAAAAAGATGGCATAATTACTCTTCAATATGCCAACATTTTGATTGATTATGCCATCATTATGGCATTATTTAAAATGTTGGCATATTTTTGTCCGGTGATGGGAGATGGTGGTGTTGGGGGGTGGCAGGAGTGGTAATGTGTTTTTTTAATTTTATGATTTTTTTTATTATTTTTTTTTAAAATTGTTTTTTTATTTTTTTAAAAAATATTTTTATTACTTTTCTATTATTTTTTTTACGATTTTTAGTATTTTTTTCGATTTTTATTAATTTTTTTATGATTTTATTATTAATTAAAACATTTCACAAGTTACAAGGGTATATTTGTCCAAACACACATAAATAGTCCTATTAAGGGAATTTAAAAAATGTAGTCCTATTTGTGCAATTTTTCCACTTTTTAGTCCTATTTAGGGAATTGACTCATAATCCAACCTTTGCACCTCATCTTTATTCACTGGTCCCTGACCGGTTGATGACTTGCTATTCCAAGTCATTTTCTTATTTTTGCAAATCATTATACCATAAATCTCATCTTTCACAAAGATAATATTTTGCAAAGATAAGAAAATTACTTAGAATAGCAGGTCATTAACCGGTCAGTGACCAACGAATGAAGATGGGGTGCAAAGGTTGGATTATTCTTGAATAATGAAAGGATGAGACTATTGTAAGAAGACTGCTAAAAGGTTGGATTATTAGTTTCCATTTTACCTAAAAGTTATAACAATTACAAAATTTAGAAGAATTGTCATGTCATGTGATCGCCTAATAGAGTGGGGATGATGTTCACCCTCTTTTGAAAGGGTGAATAAAATTGTTCTCAGTTTTCACCCTTTTCGAGTTGCCTGCAATGTGACATTGCATATCAAATGTTATACCTAGTATTTTTATGATTATTTAAATGATACGGAGTACTAATATTGCATATGTAAAATTTAAAAAGACTCTAACTAAAAAGATACTTCCTCCGTCCCGCAAAATAGTTTCCGGTTTCTTTTTTGGGCCGTCCAAAAAAATAGTTCACATTTCTCTTTTTAGAAAGTTTTGTGTGGCTCACATTCATTTACCTTTTTCTTACTTAACCACAACCATACATTTCCACTTCATTCCCACTTTCTTAAACTCCGATCCAAGTAAATGCGGAAACTATTTTATGGGATGGAGGGAGTAATATTTAGAAAATTTGATTTTTTTTTCAATTTTTGATGTGGAATATTGATACCCTCGCATGAAAAGATCATTAAAACATTAACATATGATATATGTATATATTTATAAAAATTGGATGGTAAGTAAAAAAGTTGCAATAATCTTAACCATAAAAAAGATTACCCCGCCACATGGTATCAGGCTAGGAGCAAGGGGGTGATGTTCTCCCTCATGGCCTCATTGGCGGGGTGATGTTCACCCACCCTCCTTGGAGGGATGAACAAATCACACTCATATCATGTTCCTATTTCTATATATAAAAGAAAAGATGAATGGAGTTTTATATTTACCATCTATCAAATGCTAAAAGAAAATCTATGGTATCCCTTACTACCGTTTCAATCAAGAGTAAGATGATGTCAAAGTATCAAAACTAAATTATCACATTTTCATTGACAATGTATAAATGAATCTCACAGCCCTTTAATTATATTTTTGTATGAATATAGAGGAAAGTTATGTGAAGCATTTAAATTTTGTAATTTTCTCAAATTACCTCTCATATATAGGATGTTTTCTTTTGGATTGAAATTTGCTGATCTGGTCTGGTCTGGTTTGATCTGGTAAACGTCCGGTCTCTGTGTATTTTATAACTACGGAAGTCTGGTCTGATCTCGTCTGGTCTAGGACTGAAAACAGTCCAAAAGAAAACATCCATACACTTCTTATAATATCATATTTATCGTTATTAAAACAAGAAACATGAATAACAAGATTTCACTTTAAGAACGCCTTAGAGCTCAGTTAGAGGAGGATGTAACTTGAGATTTCCTCACACTCTGATAGAAAAGGAGTGTGATTCCATCTCAAGTCATTGCTTGAAGTTGAACTTTGGACCACTCTCCTTGTGGAACCCCTTTCCTATTAGGTGAACTATGCCCCCGGTGGCTCTGACCTATTCAAGATATTGCAGAAAGGTCTAGTTTTTTATATTGAATTTGTATGCTTTATTTGTACGTGAACTTTAAAAAAAGGATGACACCCCATACCTGAGGGTCCCCCAGCACCGAACGGACAGCTAGCTGGGAGAATGTAAATTGAGCTTTGATCTCACTCTAATGAAAAGAGAATGAGGTTTCATCCCATGTCATTGCTTGGAGTTGAACCCAGGATCTCTCCTTTGTGGCACTCCCTTCCTAGCTTGGAGGTACGTGAACTTAAAATATACTATTACAGGTATATAAATAGGCTAAAGGGTCAAATAGGTACATGAACTAACTTAAAGTGTTCAATTAGCCCCTTATATAGGAGGTTCTGTTCGGCCCGTCGCCAATTGGGGCGTTTCCCGATGGAAGTTTTTGATGAAATTTTGTGAGCATCTTCCTCATTAAGTCTAGTTTATCCATACCAAATTTCAGCTAAAAATTCAACTGGGAAGGCAGTCAAATGATATTTTGAAGATAACTGCGCAGTTAAACAGCGCAGTACATTTCAGAAAATCATTTGACTGCCTTCCCGATTTAATTTTTAGCTGAAATTTGATATGAGTAAACTAGACTTAATGAAGAAGATGCTAAAAAAATTTCATCAACAAATTCCACCGGGAACCGCCCCAATTGGCAACGTCCGGGCAGAACCTCCTATACAAGAGGCTAATTGAACACTTTAAGTTAGTTCATGTACCTATTTGACCCTTTAGCCATATAAATAATTGGGTGGTACGGTGGTACCTGGCGTTATTAGATAGGTACAAATATTTGTAAAGTAAATTTACATCAATCACGTGATTTAAATCATTGATCGAATGGTACACCTACCTCGGTTAATATAAATAATTAGTTAGATAAAATTCATATAAGATGAGAAGGAATATAATATAAATAAATTAGATTATCCATCATTAGTCCCACAAAAAAGATTGCTCATCAAAGGAGATATATGCGAAGTTTTGTTTTAAACTTTCACGCTCTAAGTAACACAAAAAAGTTACACAGAGAATACAAACATATGATTAGGTTTGCGATAAATACAAATATTTAGACGTCTAGGGAAGAATTAATACATTAGAATTATGGTCATTTGAAATCAAGAATAATCTATTTTTTAGTTTTCTAATATAAAGTTTTTTCATTTTTCACATTTAGTTCATTCTATTAATGTTAAATATAGTGTATTTATTTTTCAGCTCATTCTAATTGAGGTTTTTGGATCCGCCCCTTATGAATCTAAATGTTTTATAAATAATTAAGTGCCACCCTAGTCACATATGGAAATGATACTTCTGATTATACGACCATTAAATAGCGTGTAAACACTGATCCTCAACTAATTTTCATGGCCCACATACATAAGTCCAAATATCTTTATTTTCTATTCAAATACCTTTATTTTTCTCTTCAAATCATGGTCTCACCTTCACATTACCAGCAACTTAGTGGATACAAAAGAGTTGATGTCACCTTTTAGTTATTGAAAAAACTTATCAAAATTGTAGCGCTATTTGATAAAACAATTATCTATTTGATTTAGTTTTGTTCGGAATAATTAGTTGTTGTGACTAATTAAGGCTAAAAGCTACATATTTTCTCTCATATACTACTCAGTATATCATCTAAAAAGAATATTTACTTAAAAAAATTCTTGAAAATTATCTTGTCAAACATATAACTAGACGTTTGTAGAGACTTTTGAAACAGTCTCTAGCTAGGCTAGGCTCCAACCCACCTCAGGTTTAAAAAATGATTTAATTTTTAGTGTAAAGAGTTCATTGTAGAATTGTATTTGAAAAAAAATTGTGTGCCGGTCTAATCTGGCCCCAATGCTGTAGCTACGCCCTTGAGTAGAGATTTATGCCAACCAGACATGTACTAAATCTGCAATTTTTATATGTGCGGAGTAGACATCTATACATATATGCCATGAGAAAACATGAGGTGCAATTGCGTTAGACAAAAAAATATAAGATAAGCGACTATATATGTTGTAGATTAAATTTGTAAAATGATTTCACGCAGCATATCATAAGTCATATTCACGTCACAATATTTTAACATTGTGCCTTTAAGAAGATGCGCATAAAAGGGCATAATTAAATACACAACTTTAAAAATATTATTGAACTGAGTAGACATCTATACATATATGCCATGAGAAAACATGAGGTGCAATTGCGTTAGACAAAAAAATATAAGATAAGCGACTATATATGTTGTAGATTAAATTTGTAAAATGATTTCACGCAGCATATCATAAGTCATATTCACGTCACAATATTTTAACATTGTGCCTTTAAGAAGATGCACATAAAAGGGCATAATTAAATACACAACTTTATAAATATTATTGAACTGTATAGAAAGTTTGACATAAAATTTGCTTCTTTTAACTTTTACATTACCAATAGTTACATATTCATGATTACGATTCATTAGGTGGATTAAAAAAAAATACATAGTTATAAATCAAACAAGATCCCCAAGCAATCACATGTAAACTACACAAATAATAACATAAATTAAACTATCCACTCGAACAATTATAATTGAATTCAGAGAGATGAATAACGGCATTGGGAGAAAGTTTTGGACATTGATGTAACTTCGTGGCCAATTCAGAGAAGAATTGTGCTACGCAATTCCTTGAGCACTCTCTGCAATTCCATTCTTTCCTCGATACCAAACATAGCCTCTCTAAGTTGGTAGCTCTTCTCAAAACAAACTCTGCAAGTTGTGGAAGCTCGTTTTTGTTTTCAAAATCGTCTTCGGAACAACACCAATAACCGTGGTAAAAGTTGACCTCCTTCATTTTGTTCAAACGAGCATTCTTCACATTAAATTTGGAAACATAACCCTCTATACCTTTGGATATGGATGACTCCTCGAGTAACTGTAAAAAGACAATGTTAAGGTCTGTAACATATTGTTATTATAAACAAACATAATTTATTTGAATGAGATCATTACATGTTTTAAATAAAACAAATGTTATGAAGTTTTAAAATGGACTCAAATTTGTTGTACAGTTTATTCTGGTCTGAACTTGTATGATAGAAGTCTTTTTTATGCACTTTTATTATTGTTTAGGTCTCGTAGTCTAGTCCATCTGTGTTTAAGTCTAATCTAATCAATATGTGTATGCATCATGTTTTATAATTGCACTTTTAATTTATTCAATTAAATTTAGTTCACCGATTTCAACAATTTTCACACAAAAAATTACCTCTTTCATATTATTTACAGGGGCATTACAGACATGGTAATTGGAATCGTAATACTCCTCATTGCCTGTGAATATCTTTGGAGTATCGAGTAACTGTCAAATGATAAATAAGTGAATAACACATTAGTTTATTAGAATAAAGGACTAGAGAACCTTCATTTCTATAACTATCTATCTCATACTCAATAGATTAAAGTTTTGTGGTATTACTATGAAGATGATATATCTGCAAAAAAAAAATGAAATGAATACCATGGAAATGTCCATTTTTGTTTCTTTGATTCTATTGTTCTTCTTTGCTTTAATTTTACTGTGTATAATATATTGATTATCACCATCCACTACAAGAAAAGTAGATTTTTGCGTTTAATTTTTTCGCGTCAACCAAGTCGACCCAAATAACTAGCTTAAAATATGTCGTGAGATAATATAAATATGTGTGTGTGTGTGTCGACGCTAATATAAAAGGCTTTTGAGCATTACACTTGACGGCAAAGGCTTTACAGAGCTTTTGAGTTTCAACTTGATAAAAAAAAACTAGCCGCACAAGAGAATTAGACGGCCTGTAAGATAAAGTACAATGGAGGGGAAATTGGAGAGAAGAAGTCGACACATCTCCCTAAAGTGGTGGATTTCAGGTGTGGATTGCTAGAGAATCGCATCTCCCAGCCATTTCAGTTCGTTCTCAGTTCCCGATGGGGTTACTTCGCGAACCAATTAATCCTCCTCGCTGACCGGGAAGGCATCTCACACGCGACGGCAATGGCGACCACTACTGCTACGGCGATCATATTTTTTCCAGTAATGTATTTTAGTGTTCAGATTCTTTTCCTATTTTGATATTTTTATTTTGTATACAACATATTTAAGGATTTTTTTTTGTTGCTATTTGAGTTCGTCTTTGGTATGTTTTTATTTTATTTTGTTATGTTCCTATTTGATATATTTTCTCTTACAATTATTACACACTCATCATTTTTCTATCCTGTTTAAGAAAGGGAAGAGCATCATCGATGCTGAGAAAGCTCCCTACATTGCTACTGCTGAGAATCAGAAGAAGGAATTTTGATTGCTGCAGCATTGTGTAGTGGTAACGGTTGCTCTCTCCTGTTTTATTTCTTTTTATGATTTTGGAGGAGTGTTGTATGGGAAAGGAAAATGGTTACTCTTTAGTCCAAGTGGTCAGCATTTGGTTGAATGCATTGCTCCATGTACTTTTTTAGTATGATGAAAAATACGTTTTTATAAATAAAAAGTTGTGATAGTTTCGTTTCTTGATTTATTTTAAGAGGTGCAAAGCTATCCAGACTCTTGGCATTCTATGTGCTAACATCTGGAGTGCCTAAGAAGCTAAGACTGATCTGGTGCAAGAATTATCGTTTGGGAGGTTACTTGAATGTAATTTACCTTTATAAGCCAAATTGCATTATATCAATATACAATTCCTACTTTGATATCTTACATTTTAAGCAATGTTGGTTTAAAAATATTTCTTTTGTTTCAGGCCTACATATTACCAAGTCTATAGATGCTGTCAAGAATCAGGTACTAATCAAACTAATCGGTTATGTTAACACAAACTTATATGATAATTTTGAGGTTTAATTTCATTTGATTGCAGCATCATGAGCAAGTGTGACAGATCCTTTTCTAGCTCAAATGAGCCAAATTCAAGATTTACTTCAGTTATTTTTATACCAAGTACTTATTATAACTTGTTAATATTTTATAGTTTGTTTTTAAATTTGTTTTATTTGAGATTTCAGGAGAAGTACTCAAATTTCGAAAACAAATGATAAGTGATCATTTGTAGATACAATACATGGTTAATGGATTCAATTTATTGTTGAAAGAGCATATGGTATTTGCCTTTTGACTTTTGCGTCGACTTTTGATTTTTTGTGTCGATTTTTTGTTAACGCAAATAACGCTTTTTTGTTGTAATGATCATGTATTTCACACAAAGTTAACTTGCTTTATTCAGATTCAGTAGTTTTTCTCATTATGTTTCAATTTAAATTGTTGTTTTGGTTCCAAGTCAATCACATTAGGAGTCATTTTGTTCACAAGGAGATTGACATAATGTGTTGCATTTGCTTAAATTATGACTAAATTGACTTTCTTTACATTTGACTAAAAATGAATTGATCTACTAAGTTATGAAATACATATATATAATTTGTACTAGTATTTATTATTAAAATTAAAGAAAAAATGAATGGAAAACATTGTCATGTTTAACAAAACTAATTAAAATGTAACTTTGTTCTTGTTTTATTTTTTAGATAATTCAATTAATGAAATAAAATAATAATGCTTGTGTTGGGATATATTATCTCGGCCTACTACTGATCAGGAGCCCAAGCAGGTAGGCCCATTTCGGCCCATCCGGCCCACTCTAGCTCGGCAGGCCCACCTTGGCCCTTCCGGCTAGGTGGAGAGCACCCTTTCCCCTTTTCCCCTATAAATAGGAGGTTTTCCCTCTATGTAAAGGATCCCTTTTTTAGCTTATTCATCCTTCTCTCTAGCTAGCTTGCAAGAGTTCATTAATGGGAACTCAAATTGGATAATGTAAATGAGGAGAGGTTAATGAGAAAGAGGGTGCTTGGACATTAGCCTAAAAAGTCTCGTGATTTTCTCCCTTTCGGGTTTCCACATAAAAGTAGAGAATTCATACCTATTTATATCTATATTTACTATATCGTGTGGGAATAAACTCAACAGCTTGCTAAACACTCCAAAAACTAGGGTCAAGCAGAAAAATAGGCTAGCTAATCACACTTATGTATAATGCAATATCAACCGATAAAATTCCATCGTAACATAACCTTTAGATTAACGTGTAGACAACTCAACTAAATCATAGAGAGTAAATTTATAAAGCAAATTAACATGTTTACTATGCATATTACTGAGTATATTATATACTCAGCAAATGACACAAATATTTGCAACCTTCAAAAACTCTTTAAAACAGTTTTTGCCCTAAAAAGTAATGGTATCTTTATATTCTACTTTAGCTCCAAGAATACAAAGAGTCAAGTTTGCGGAGATAATGTCATTTGCACTTTTTACATCACTTCATTGCTTTTTGTACCATTATTACTTTTTCTGTTCTCAACAATTTACATACACTTTCACCGTAAAAAAATGTCCGAACACTACTCTGTATAAACTTTGTTATTGGATGGGAGTAAATGAGTAATGTGTATCATTGAAAAAATTGCTCCATCTAAATCATCAAGTAATAAACACCATGAAAGCATTCCTTACAAGTTTTTAATGATATTCTCTAGATTAAAGTTCAAGTACTCCAAATCTCATATTCTCTACATTGTTCAATTTGACTCCTGAACTAAACAAAGCCTTATTTACTGAAAAGATTCAAGTCTCATTTTTTACAAGTTCTGTATAAACGTCTAATCATACATCTAAATCCGTCTAAGTTGTTCAATTCACCTCTCAATTGCAAAAAAACGTACATAATGTCACATTTATGTAAGTTGTTTGTATTTTATGATAACGATAACTTGCATTTTATTATTTGTACTTTGAATATTTCATGTTTATTTTTTAAACATAACTTAATGCTTAGAGGTTTTTGCCATTAATTAAAAAGGATGAATAGAATAACTTGAACGGGGTCAAATACATTTAATTTTCAAGGCAGTAGCCGGTTTCCACTTTGCCTGCAAAACATAGAATTTGAATCTTAAGTTTTAACATGTTTAGAGCCCGTTTGGTAACCTTGTTTTTTGGCTTATCAAGCTCATCAGCCAACTTTTTCATCAAATACTTAACTTTTGATTTTGCGCGTTGAATTGTATAATAATAAGAAGAAAAAGTCAGGTTGGACTTACTTTTCTTACTGTATAGGCTGAAATTGTTGTAGAGAATCATTTTAACTATTTTTCATATATTTTTTTCTTTATTTTATTAATAAAAAATATTTTAAATAAAATTTATTCATAAATCAGCAGAATTAGTCAATCCAGCCACTTCAGCCAGAACTAAACTTTCAGGAGAATCAGCCTATTCAGCCAATTTCAGTGTTACCAAACGGGCTTTTAATGTATGAATTGATTAACAAGGCCAGGGTATCTGAGTCTATTTGACGTGTGTCTAACTCACTCGCTTATGATCGGGCAACTTAAGTTATTCATAAAACTAAAGAATTCCTATTTTAACAATAAAACACAGCTGACTCTTGTTAATTTGGAGCAACTTTATAGGAATGCAATAATGGAAGTGAAAAGTAAGAAGACGTGGCTGACCGGCGAAGAGCATAAAAACATGTCCAAAGTTTCCAAAAGAGGCAAGGCAAGGATGAATCTCGCTATTCCGGAAATGTTGTAACTCCTTATGTCACCACGTAGGACCAGCTCTTTGCAATTGAACTTCGAAGCCGCTACTTTCTTGAAGTCGAAAAGTGAAAATGCCTAATCACAAATGAATGACAATCGATCAATAAGTAAACAACAACAATTGAGAATAATTGGAACAAAGGAAATTGATCCGTTTAATCTCACTATATTCTATTGTTTGACAATAAAAACATAATAGTTCTATTTTAGAATATACAAATATTTTTAGGCCTATTTGGAGTAATATTATCATTCTCTTGTGTATGTCTAGTTTCTCAATCAATAATTTTTTACATACACAAAATTTGTGCACATTTAACACACATTTATATGTAATTGTTTGTGCTTACATTCTAGTTGCTTGTGTGCATAGACAATTATAAAAAATATGTGTCAAATATTTAAATTTCGTGAATAAATAATTTTTTAACCAATATGACATTAAGAGCTCCGTTGCTTATGCGTACGTCCCTATCCAAACTCTGATAAAACAGATACTCCGTATTTGTGAGTGCATGTTAGGTCTATAATAGACCATGTTGAATTGATGCTTGTTTTAAATTGATTCAACCATTACTCTTTACATTGCAAAAGATTCCATGTTGAGTCTATCTATACCTATAGTGTCACTTTGGATCACCGAGACGTCCTGTTGAACGCACAACAATAAAGCATATTTTTTGGATACTTACGAAGGAGACACGTTTGCTAACTAATGCAAATCACTGAAATAGTTTTCATAGATTTGAGTATGGTTTAAAGTTGATATTAATTAACTCTGTTTTTTATGTTTCCTTTGAATTGAGTTTCATACTATACGCATTTAATTACTAGCTTCGTCTCTCTAATACCCGGGCTCAGACCGAAAATTTTTACCGGGCCATTTTTTTTTTTAATTTGGCGGGCCGGGTAAAAAACCCGGACCGAACCCGAAATTTCGGGCCCAAATCCGGTCCCTAAAATTTTCAAATCGACCCGGACCAAAAAAAAACCCGACCCGAATATTTCATTATAATTTATTATAAAATATTAAGTATGTGTAAATAATATATTGGAAAGCTAACCGTCCCAATAGTTTCGGCATCTCCATCAGCCGATTGGAAATTAGGGAGAGAACTTAGAAATCTAAAGGACAAATATGGGATGCCATTTAGAATTCCGAAGAGGTAAATTTATGGATTTTTCATGTTTTCAAGGAGTAATCAATCCTACAAAAGCTAATCTTCCACACTCCAGAGTTCTCCTCGCTGCTTATAGCCTTTGAATGATTAATGTTTCGTTGCTTATACCTTTGAATTATAGATTCAACAGTTTTGCTTTGACTAATGGCTATAATAGAAAGTGCGAAGGTTGAATTAATTTGATTGATTATGGAATATTGTTTTATAATGTTTTTCAATAAAAACAATGATAAATTTTTTATTGGCCTTTAACCGACCCCACCCGAACCCGGACCGAACCCGAGCTTCATAAAACCCGGATTGGACTGAATATGTAGAGCTTTTTTTCGGTCCTAGTTTTTCATAACCCGAGAAGTTTCGGGTAATTTCCGGATAGAGCAAAAACCCGACCCAGCCCGGACCGATCCCACCCCTATTAAAAAGGTACCCAAGAGGAACACATATTATTTGAATGAAGTCTCGGTAATTACATAATACGGGGTAATACAGAGTACGTAAGTTTATAGTCATTTAGAATTTAGAGTTATTTAACTTCCCTTCTGTTTCCCTATGAAGGGCGTAGTTAAGGGGCAACCCTGACCCTGACTCACATCAAATTTCAAAAATGTCGTGTATTTTTTTTTTCTGAAAACATTCTTTGTATCAATTCAGTGCTCTGGCTCTGCCCGTATCCCCTCAAAATCCTTCATCCTCACTCCCCAAGCTCGCAAACATACCCTTAGAAATAGAGAACTCACGTACCTCCATAAACCAGGAGGTAAAGGTAAGGCGCCGAGCGTGAGAAGCGCTGGGAAGAAAGCCATTAATGTTGTCAAGTTTCATCTCACAATCGAAGGTTGCATCGACCAAGGAGGAAACATTCACAAGGCGGCAATCGGCCTCGCCGTAAACCTCCAGATTTTGAAGATGAGGAGCGCGGATGTGTAGCCATGCATCATTGTTGTAGTCCAGATTCAATGAGATACAGCTCTCCAATATCAGCGTCTTCACCCTTGCTGACTTGATTTTGAGTTCCCGGAAAAACCCGTAGTGGATAAGCTCCAGTGTTTCAAGGGCCGGGCAACCTGCGAGCAATCTTTCTACTTCCTCATCATTCAGGTTCACTGACTGCAATGTTAGTCGCGTCAGACAAGGCCAATTGATGACTTGAGTTTCCCCGAACTTGAAAAACTTCAGTTTCAGCTTCTTTAGGGGTAAATATGACACCAGAATCTCAGGCAAAGTTACCTCATTCCAAGCCCCCTGTTTTTTTAAACAAAGCACTTATATATGACTAAAATACAAATGATGAATAATAATGTGACATCGTATAAAGTGATTATAATAATAACTTCCCGTGACTATAAATTTAGGAGGATATTATTATGTTCAATTTCATATTAGTGACCCTAGTCACATGTTTGTACATACGATTTATTCGGATAGTATTCTAGAAAAACTGTCTTTCTGTGTGTCCCATATTACTTGCATATACATACAAACCAAGCATCAAAGTACGAGTTTCCATCCATAATCATACTTACTTAATTTTGCATCTCATTTTTAAGTCATTTACACCTAACCAATTACTCTTTTTATTACGGAGTATTAAATTTGACCCGACACAACCTCTAATTACGCCCATGGACACACATTAAAAGCATCTCAAATGGTAAAATGTGCACGGCGCACATGTGACATGAGAAATAGCCACATAAATATTAGTAAATAAATTCTTTCTCTCCTTATTTGAATGATTTTATAGAGTTTTGGTAAGTTTTTCTCCACAATGTCAAGGAGACCGTCTAGATGTTGACATTGTTGTTGACAGTGCAGGGAAAAACTTACCAAAATTGTATAAAATCATTCAAATAAGGAGAGAAATAATTTATTTGCTAATATTTATGTGGCTATCACTCATGCCACATATGCAACGTGGACATTATAGCATTGGAGATGCTCTAACCATATATCTCCAATCTGTTGATGTTACAAAGTGTGTTAATTATTAGTTATTACATTATGTATTTACATTTTTATTATGTGTATTAAAAACTCTGAATTAATCTGTCTAAATTTTACGAGTTGCAGGGTGCATGTGTGTGGGTGTGTGCCGTAGACAAACAAATACACACACATAAGTCATAAGACTTCATTGCAAATCTGGGAGTATGTTTATTACCCTCAAAAGTATGTTTTACTTTTTTAGATAAATCACATTAGTGTAAATTCAAATTACCCCATTTTTAACCTCTGATTATGATTTCTTCAATATATAAGTGGACGACATGAAGGCCAAAAGTATTTAAAAAAAGGACATAATATAATCTGTGTACTTAAAGTGAATAATAAAAAGTAAAATATTTTTGAGTTATGCTATAATACAAAAACTCTTACAAAAATGGTATGTGGCATCATCTCATTATTTAACACATCACATCACCTTTACAACACTTTTACATTAAAGGTAATTATAATAGCCACATAACTTCTTTGTAAGTTTTTTTGTAAGTTTGTTTGTACTTCTAGCATTTTTCAATATTTTTTCTTGAATAATATAAACATACGGAGTGTAAAATACCGATTATAGGATTCAGTCATTTTATAATTGAATTCATTGCCAAACTATATATTATCCATGTTCTTTCATTCTTGCAACAGTTTGACTTTCACGTTTACCAACGAACAACTTTGACTGTAATTATATTTAATTACGAAAAATATATTAGTAAACATTATAAAAAGTTCATATTTTGGAAATTTACTACGATAAAAATTCAATAACACTTTATACGTAATAATTTGATCATGTATATTAAATGAAAATTGTGATCAAAATAAGATATGTAAATAATGCAAAAACCAGAATGTTGCAAGAATAAAAAAATGGGAAAATTATTAAAAATTAGCATGTGAAAATGACTTATAACCAATTATTTATAATTGTAATACCAAATTACCAACTACTTTTATTAGTGAAAAGAGCAAACATATGTCGCTATCACCAATCAAGTGACGCAAGCCAAGTCTGAAATATCTCCTAAATAAAAAAAATAATCACCACTTTCGAAAAAAGAAATACTCCGTTTCTTAAACACGCCGTAATATATACTCGTACTCCGTATTAAATTAAATATAGAGGGTTGACTGTCCAAGACTTATCTATTTATCCAAAAAAACAGAGTAAAAAAATCAAGCGTTGTATACAAACCTGTTGCATCAGGGCGATGTCATCGGCTTTCCGGTCGACGGCGAATTGTGCCCAGTTTGTGATCCGGGATAAATCCTTATCGTCGAGAAGTTTAAACTGAATCCAGAATCGATCGATTTTCTGAGAATTGCAGCGGTTCAGAACGTGGTCGACGAAGGCGAAGAACCCGTTCTCCGGTCCGACGTCCTTCACCACAATATCATCGTAGTCTCCGAAGAAGCAAACGTTGCTGACTTGATTCCATAGATTCTCCCACCTCCTCGACAGCACCCCGGTTCTGCAACCGACGGTCATCGGAACTCTGGAAAGTATGTTGATTAGAACCTCGTCCGGCAACGTACTGATCCGATCTTCCTGCCTTTGCGCCATTCTTTGCTTTGTAATTAGTATTAAATTACTGCTTCGAATTGTTATTATAAGAGATTATTGGAAATGTAAAGTAGTAATGGATTTTCTTAGGCGAGGATTGAGTGGGGGTCGCCGGCGATTTGATTGCCCACCAAGACTGAATCGCTGCCTTTTATAGATCGCAGATGAAGAGGGCGTGGGTAAGATGCTACTCGATCCACCCAAATTTATTGAATGTGATAAGTCCGTATTTAAACACGCATTTGATGCGTGTTCAGGTCGGATTTTGATGATTTTCCTGGCTTTAAGGCGTTGCAAGTCTCAATTTTGCATCAAGTTATGTTTAACAGGCATTGGATCGAGTTTCATTGCATTTAGAGTTGATTTGAAGAAGTTAGAGTCCGGCAATCGGCGCTTGAGAAGCATTCGGGCAGGATTTGAAGGCATTCGAGAAAGATTTGAAAGATCTGGAGGCCACCGGGAGATTCACGACGAAATTCTGGTGAAGAAAGAGCATTTGGATCGACCTCGTAGGCATCCGGGAGCATTCGGAGCAAGAAAACGAAGGAAAAGTGAAGAATAGGGTCAGGCACGGTCGTGCCTGGGGTTAGCCACGCCGTGCCTGAAGAGAAATTGTCCTGCGAGCTACTGGAGGCCAGGCACGATCGTGCCTGGCAGCTAGGCACGTCGTGCCTGGCATTGATCGAGGAACCGAGCTACTGGAGGCCAGGCACGATCGTGCCTGGCAGTTAGGCACGCCGTGCCTGGACGCGAATTACGGGATTCTTCCGTAGGCACGGTCGCAGGCACGGTCGTGCCTGGCACCGTGCCTGGCCGCGATCTGTCCTAATTCGACCCAAATTCATTGTTTTCTATAAATAAGGTCTTCATACCCACTTTTGAGGGTTACGAACTTTGGAGAGAGGCCTAGGGACGAGTTTACCTGTGTTTTTTACGTTGTTTAATCCAAGAACCTGGGATTCTTTGTAAGTTCAATTCTTTAATTAATGACAATTATTTCTATTCATCCCAATTCTTTTGATTCGTCAATTATGAGGCGTGAGTAGTTTAATTAGGGATTTGGGGTTGATGAAGGGGTTAATCATGATTGATGGCTAGATTCTTGTCGGTTTAATTGCATGAATGTCGTTTAATTTGTGTTTGAATAACTTAACTGATATCTCTTGTAACCTAGATGGCCACTAGAATTACAATTGCTTATAGAATAAATTAAGAGAGATCTAATTTGTTCTAGGACACATTCACACACACTTAGTCGTTCGCTAAGAGATTAGTAGCGATTAAGGGGCCGTAAGCTCGCTCGTTTTGGCAATAATTTAGGATCTTGTCGCATGAGAGATCAGCCTGGACCCCTAAATTATTGTACTCTACGCCGCGAGAGCGGTAAGAACTTAGTAATGATTAGCTAGGCTCAGTTAAATTAAATTCATGTAATTAGGCATGTTCTGCCAGAAATCTGGTTAACCCCGGAATCAATTCCTGTTCCCTTCGTCGTTAATTAAGGAAAACCAAATCTTTTTATTCGCTCATTAGCATTAGTTTTAGTTTAATCAATCAACCAATCTCGCACAATTGCATTTTTATTTTATTTATTTCTTTTTAATCGCTAAAGTTTAATTAATCTTTATTTCCCTTTTGTCCGTCCCTATGGAGACGATACTCGTACTTTACACCACTTTTCTACAACCATTTCAAGTGCGAGAAAACACTCATCAGAATGCTTTTTCAAAAAGAAATGTTTAAAAAATTATCTAGTACCTCCGTCCCAAATTGATTTGCAAATTTGACTTTTCTTGATCAAACAAATTCATTTTATTCGCTTAATTAAGATGTCAATTGTTAATTAAATTCTAATTTGGGGTTTACAACTTTGAAGAGACTTTAATGTAGTTTCTAAATATATAAATTTTAATTATTAAAAATTTAATTAATTATCGATACGGAGCATTAACTTTTATTATTGGTTGACCAAAAAATGTTGACTTTGCAAAACAAATTGGGATGGAGGGAGTATAATATTTCATGTTAATTACCGTAGAATTTATTGTTTGCTAAGAAACAGAGGTTTCAAGCTCTAGTAGTACTACTGCGTCATTCTTATCCACTAAATACTGTACGGCGTGGCTTTGCACTTTGACAAAGACAACTGCGGAAAGATATTTACAACACACGTAGTTGCCCTTAAAACTTTGATGATCTTTTGTAGATCGGAGGGCGTGGGTAAGATGCTACTCGGTCCGCCCAAATTTATTGAATGCTTTTTCAAAAAGAAATGTTCAAAAATTATCTAAAAGTCGTATTTCATGTTAATTACTGTAGAATTAATATATTGTTTGCTAAGAAACAGAGGTTTCCAGCTCTAGTAGTTCTAGTGCGTCATTCTTATCCACTAAATACTGTACGGCGTGGCTTTGTACTTTAAGACGAAGACAACTGCGGAAAGATATTTACAACACACGTACTACTCCATGTGCCCTTAATACTTTGTTTATCTTTTCTATTTGGAAAGTTCCAAAAAACTTTGACATTTTCCCTTTTCATTAAAAAAATGTGTTCAAAATGATTAAAACATTGATAAAAAGTCAAAGTAGGACATACCATCTTTTTCTCCCATTATAGGAGTCATCGGCTCCTAGTTTAAGTTTTCGCCGTTTCTTCAATGTCCAAATTGCTCTTACTTTTCTCATCGCTCTATCCTGCTCATAGACACCGCTTCCAACATCATCGATCTTCTTCTCCTTCACTGTCCGTTCTTCTCTTCTCCTGCAATGTCTCAAAGTACTCCAAGTTTGATCTTATTCTGCTTCCTCCATCTCCATTCAATTTGTTTATGGGAAACTCCACCAATGTAAGAAATTCAGCTCTTCTTCCTTTGATTTCTTCTTCTCCTTCTCTTTGTCTCCTCTATTGATTTTCTTCTTCTTCCTCTATTTTTTTAAAATGTTGTGGTTGCTCTCAAAATGTCATGAATTTGGCAATTACATATGTAACAACATGACAGCCGTTCTTCTCCTTCTCTTTGCCTCCTCCATGGATTTTCTTCTTCTTCCTCTGTTTTTTTTTTAAATGTTGTGTTTGTTCTCAAAATGTCATGAATGTGGCAATTACATATAACCATCTTTAAAGAGAGAGTTTGCGATACCATCAAGAGAGAGAGAGAGAGAGAGAGAGTTTGCGATAAAAATGACATCATTTGGAAAACATTTTAGAAAACATGACATTTCTAATAACAAGTAGTTATGTCATTCTCAGATAAACCATAAAAATGTCATAGAATGCCATAAGAATGGCATTTTCTTATGGACATATGACATTTTCATAATGCCATCCTGATAGATATACTGTCACAACGTCTCTGCTCCGCACACCTCCAAAATTGCTCCACGCACCCACTCTGGACAAATTTGTCCTTGGTCAATTGCTCACGCCACACCGAATGTGCTAGGCGCACCCCTACGTGATTAACAAAATACCAAGCATCTCTTGATTTTTATTTTAATGGGCCTTTTTGCTTCTTTAAAAAAAATAAGTTACGGAGTATAATAATATGGAATTCTCGTAGGATGAGCGAATAACAATTTGGACATTTAGTCTCCCTCCAATAAGTTTGTGCCATGTGGCCAATTTTTCTTTTTTTTATAAAATGTTATAATTTTTCCAATTTTGCTCCTATTTTTATAAAAACTATATCAAATTAAATAATTTTTTATGATCTTTCATATGACACCAATAAAAACATTGGTCATGTTTATTGAACGGCCAATTAATGTATACTCCGTATTTACTACTCCGGATATAGTTTTTTACATATAAAAATACTCCGTATTTTAAAAAATTACATATTTTTTTATGATCTTTCAATTACATACTCCGGAGTATGTATGTAGTAGTATTTTTTTCATCTAGTCTAGTCCGATCTGATCTAATTTGTTTGAATCTGTCTGGATCAAATTAGTTCAAATAAAAACATTTCACATATCATTCGCATCCTAAATCTAGTCATGTAACATATATGGTCGTGATAGTAAGAACATGTTGTAATCACTTGTGGCAACGAAGCATTGTCGTCAAGCCAAATCTGTGCGTCAACATACGTAGTCATTTTATGCATATCATATGGTAATGTGAAATCAAAATGGAACTATAGAATATTGTTTTCTTACAGTTATGTAGTGATGTTGATATTAAAGCCGAGCAATGCAAAAAATTGTCTTCGGAAGACTACTACCAGGAGGAGATATCATGGGCAAACAAGTGACTGGTTCGTGAAGGTCAAGATGCACTAAAATAACTTGGTATAACGTTGCAAAGATCAACGAACCTCGGGGGTGTCCCTCATGTGTATCCATATATGTTACAAGACTAGATTTAGGATGCGAATGATATGTAGAATGTTTTAATTTGAACTGGTTTCAATCCAGACAAATTCAAACAAATTAGATCAGACTAGACTAAATTTAAAAAATACTACTCCGTAAGTAGTAAATATACATTGATTCGCCGTTCAATAAATCTGACCAATGTTTTTTAACTTTTACATATATGATATTGGTGTCATGTGAAAGATCATAAAAATTATGTAATTTGATATAGTTTTTATAAAAATAGGAGCAAAATTGGAAAAGTTATACTCCGTAACATGTTATAAAAGAAATAAGAAAAAAGCCACATGGCAGCAACTTATTTGCGGCTCTCATCCTACGAGAATTCCCATATGCTTGGTTATAACTTATTTTTATTTTAAAAAGTAATAAGGCCCATTAATTAAAATTAAAAATGAGGATATGCTTGGTTAATCACGTACGTACTAACGTACATAGGTGGTGCGCCACTGCGCCTATTCTATTCGAAGTAGCATAACTGCGTAAGCAATTGACCAAGGACAAGCTTGTCCAGATTTGATAAAAAATTGGTGCGCATAGAAATTTTGGAGGCGCGTGGAGCATCACCCCTGTCACAAACATGGCAGTTTTTTAAAATAACCAATAATTTTGACATTCTCATATTATAAAAATGACATTTTGTTGAAGGAATAAAATTCAATTCCAAAAAAATCTAAATTAATAAATAAAACTCAAATCCACAAATGCAAAGAAGAAGAGACAGAGGACTATAAAGTTGAAGAGGATTAGAAAATCGTTGCAGCTTTCTTTTAATTTATC